ATTTTCATACATGTCATTAATAATGTAGAAACTTCGCAAAAATTGTATGAAAATAGTGTCATTAATAATGTAGCTCCTTTTCTTTTACAAATATAGCATCATTAATTAATAGTGTTCGTAGGCTCCTGATTTTACAAAAAACTGAAGAAAGATTCGTAAGAATTAAGTTTGGAGAAAATAGCGTCCACTTTGAGAATTTGTGAAATTATTATCATCCCTCAACTTTTTATTTCGATTTATTTTAATCCCAAATTAGATTAGATTAGATCAGACACTTTAAATGTATTAGATCTAATCTGACCAAACTCTAACAGAGAAATCAGTCCATATGAAAACTTTTTAATAATATACTTCATCCGTTCCTTAAAACTTTGCCAAGTTTGACCAGCACGAGGATTAATAAAGTAAAACTGTGTGGTTGATGTTTATGCAGAGGAGAGAGAATTAACTGGAACCACAAATTCTTTACTTAGGAAAATGACAAAGTTAGTGTGACATACAAAAAAAGAAAATTGATAAAGTTTTAAGGGATAATCAAACATTCAAACATGCATGTTATACAAGATATCAACATGCATTTAAGCCATTAGACACATTTCAACGATTAGATCTTCACGTAAACGTTATCATACGGATAATCAATACATAGACACATGTATTTTTTCATAAAACCAGAGATAAATTATTGTCCAAGATTTTGTACTTCATGCTATTACTATCCCCTTTACGAATGATGGAAAGGTGGTTGATTCGTTATAACTTACAGAGTATAATTGTATATTATAATAACTAGCTTTCAAGCCCGTGCGATGCACGGGATATATGTAATTTAGCAAATTTGAAATTTAATTTCTATCGGATCACATATAATGTGGTTTAAAAGAAAAATAAACTTAGTCTAATATAGAGTCTATTTGATAATACTAAAGTAAATAAAATTAACTTATTTTGCTGAATATGATTGAATTCTGGTTAAATAGGTGGAATCTTTTGAATCATGAAAAATATATGTAAAATATACTCTGTATTCCATTTGTGAAACAAAGAAAAATATATATGAAAAAAAAGTTGAATTGGGCTTCTACATAAGCATCTCAAGTAAACATAATTGTTATGAACCCAATAATAAAAAATCTATATTTCTTAATTGTTAGATCTTACAGTTTACTCATTAATAAGAACGTTTTTAATTGAATTAAAATTTTGGGTTTGATTTGGTAGGAATTAATATGGTCTATTAGATGACTGTTTTTTTTGTGACTTATTGTTATAATTATTAAAGTTTGATCTGATCTGATTTAATCTAGAACTGAAATCAATCCAATTAAAAACATTCTATTAAAATAAAAGTAGGAATTCGTAAACCTATAAAGATTTTCTAATTTGGATTAGGAATCTATTTCAAAAGTGAAGGCATATTTGAATTTTAGGTGTAAAATAAAGAAACAACCAAAAATTTTTACGTATTTGGCTAAGTTAAACATATTTACTTGTGAAAATATATATAATTTATGTTGGTTATAGTTTTTAATTTAATTTTTAATTATTTACTTATTTGAAGCTTACAAATTTATTAATAGGTGTCAAATTAGTAAGTAAACTAATTTGCATATTTGTTTCTATTTAATTCGGTGTAGTAAACTAATATAAATTAGTTTCCATATCAATAAACGTTATTAGAATTTCATTTTGATAACCAAAAATTATTTTACTTATTTGAAGCTTACCAAATTAATTAAGGTGGGTTTATAAGGATTTTTGTTTCCATATCAATATGCAATCAAAAATAGAATCTAATAAAAATAAAAGGTATAAAAATAAGTAAATAATTGTTATATATAATGACATGACCGGATTATGTGGCGCTTTGTATGCTCTTAAAAAGTTCCACTTATATATATATATATATATATATATATATATATATATATATATATATATATATATATATATATATATATATATATATATTGATTCGATTGCTTGCTCTCTTTATTTATGTATACGAGTGAAGCATACTATAGCTATCTCCATTCAATTGTTATTGTCATAATTTGGTTTGACACAAATATTAATAAAGTGATTTAAAAATGGTTAATATATGAGTATAATAAAGTGAAATGATGTAGATGACAACTTTCTTTTCAAAAAAATATGACATTTATTTTGGGACTACTCAAAAAATAATGTAGACAGATAAAATAGGACGAGGGAGTATGACATATCCCTAATTAAGTATGACCATTCATGGATCTTTTATTTCTTTAGAGCATCTCCAATGCTACAATGTGCACGGTGCAACGTGGCATGAGAAATAGGCACATAAATATTAGTAAATACATTCTTTATCTCCTTATTTGAATGCTTTTATGCAGTTTTGGTAAGTTTTTCTACACAATGTCAAGGAGACCGTCTAGATGTTGACATTGCAGTTGACATTGCAGGGGAAAACTTACCAAAATTGTATAAAATCATTCAAATAAGGACATGAATAATTTATTTGCTAATATTTATGTGGTTATCTCTCATGCCACATGTGCATCGTGCACACTATAACATTGGAGATGCTCTTATAGTCGTATCTTATATCCATCTGTCCGATTAGAAGGTTCTCACTTTCCTTTTTGGACGTCTCGTTAGTAGGTTCTCAGTTCTATTTTAGGAAACAATTAATAATCTTAAGTGACAAATTAATCATTAAATATTAAAAATAATACATTTATAACATCACAGTTATCAATACTAACTACTCCCTCTGTCCCAAAATGATGGTCCCATATTTCCTATTTGGGTTGTCCCAAAATGATGGTCTTGTTTCCCTTTTTTGTAAGGAAATTAAAGTAGATTACCATTTATACACTTACTTTTTATGAACAGTAAAAGTAAAAGAATGAACGGTGCAATAAAGTAAGGTTATATGAGTCATTTGACCCCACTTTCTTAATATTTGAACCCAAAAAGTATAGGACCATCAATTTGGGACGGAGGGAGTACATTATAATATATACCTATTAAAATTATTTCTCAAAATATACTCGAAGTACCTTATTTAATTAATGCCTAAATAACCGTACCGTTTTGCTATGAGAATCTTCCAACGGGACGGAGGGAGTACATATGATGGTCTTCTTTATTTGGTTAATTTTTTCCTTTACATAAGTACTAATATTCAAATGATCAGTGCTGTGATATACTCCCTCTGTCCCATTAAATTTTTCCTACTTTTGTTTTTGGCATGTCCCAAAAAATTCTTCTCACTTACCATTTTTGGACAATTTGTGTGGTTCACATTCATTCTAACTTTTCTTACATAACTACAACCATACATTTCCATTTTATTCCACTTTCTTAATATGTGTGTCAAGTCAAACTGAGAAGAATTTTCTGGAACGAAGGGAGTATGTAGTTTTATTACGAATAGAGGTATTGTAGCTCCTAGAATCGAATCAATCTTCAAATTAAAATCTCGCATGATTAGCAAAATGATATGCTCATCAATTCGGGTAGATATGTTCTACGTTGATCAAATAGTGAGAAGTGATTATGTTATCTTGAGTATAAGAGGAAGATATGTATTGATTTTGAGTCTTATATACTTCCTTCGTTCCAGAAAATTGCAACGGTCAACATTTCACGTTTACCAATACACACCTTTGATCATCATTATATTTAATTATGTATTAGTAAAAATAAAATAAAAATTAGATTATAAAACTTAGTAATGAGACGAATTTAACAATATTTTTCAAAAAAAATAATTCACATAGCTTAATAAATAAAATGTAGTCAAAGTAAGGTACATGAATAGTGTATATATTTCAATGTTGTAATTAATGAGATACGGAGGATAATATAATGTATGATTACTGTACGTGATATCAATATATAATAGGCGATTTCTAGTAAAAGAAATATACCCTTCCGTCCCATCGAACTTTCCAAATTTGAAAGTTTTTTGTTTGTCCAAAAAACTTTTTCAGTTTTCCTTTAAAGTAAATAATTTGTTGTTCTATTTATTTTCTTCTCCCTTATCTAAATTTTAACCACACAATTTATACTCTTCTTATTTTACATTTAAGATAATATTGGCAACATTCAAAGAAACAGAGGTAATATAGTTTCACTTTGTTATTTACGATTCAATTTCATGATTGATTTATAGTGTTTAATACTCCGTAAATGATAAATGTATTCCCACAAACCTCATATTAGTTTCATAATTAAATTTACGTATTTAGAAGCTGCTGACAAAATCTATTTCATTATAAAATACTACTCCCTCCGTCCCGAAATAATTGTCATGCTTTCTTTTTCGGTCCGTCCTGAAATAATTGTCTCCTTTCCATATTTGGTAAAAAAATCTATACAAAACAGTGTCAAACAGTGCAAAACAGTGCCAAACAGTGTCGCTACAGTGCCAAACAGTGTCGCTACAGTGCCGATCAGTCTCGCTACAGTGTGAAGTCAACTTTGTTTTCTTAATCTGTGTGAATATCAAAACAGGACGATTATTTCGGGACAGAGAAAGTAATAAAAAGATTTAACTTTATTCTTGAACTTTTAAAAAATGCAAATTCTCCTTTTGGTAAAGGAAATATTATTGTTGGGGGGTAAAAATCATATTCCCTCCATCCCATTTGCAAACTTTCACTTTTGACATTTACAAACTTTATCCCATTTCTTTCATTCGTAGAAATCGCAATCAGACAACATTATCACATTTCTTTCATATTTCTTTCATTTCTAATTCAAAATTTACAAATTAATGTCCAACGAGACGGATATAATATCATACTCAATATTATTTTATAATAATGAATCTTTGACTTCATTATAAATGACTCAATTGCTTTATTAAAAGTTCACTTAACTATCAAGGACAATTATTTTATATGTATACAAATAATCTTGTACGTAGTTGATGACCAAAACTTCCACTACCAAAGGAGTACGTACTATAAAATGATCCTAAAACTAGCTAGCTCTTGAATTGTACTACGTATTGAGTTCATAAATTGAGGGAATGGGAAGTGCAAAAGAGACTAAAAAGAAGAAAAAAGGAGGCAGGTCTTTGTGGTATATTTTCAAACTCCAGGCGGATGGAGTGGATCTCCTTTTGATGAGCCTCGGCTTCTTCGGCGCCATAGGCAATGGTATTTCCGCTCCCATTATGTATGTGTTCACCGGCAGGATCATGAACAATCTCGGCGGTGCATCACCTTCCACCAGCGGCGGCGGCGGCCGAGGCGGTGGTTTTTCTCACCATGTCAACCAGGTTAGTCAATTATCACCTTTGTCACAATTTAGGATTCTCACTTAACTCCGATCTTTTGAACGTTCCAGTTAAAAGTTCTCGATCACTTACGATTTAGAAAACAATTAACCTTCTTGAATGATAAGGAGTAGCTTATTTGTCAAATTAAATATTAAAATAATACATCTATAACAACACAGTTATTGTCTATTACTTATCAAAATACACTTAAATTACTTTATTTAATTATTACCTAAATAATTGTATCATTTTTCAATGAGAACATTAAACCGAAACAGGAGTAATATTTCATGTGTCCTAAATTGATTTGTAACTTGCCGTTGTTAATTAAGGTCGATCGTAGTAAAATTATATTCTTCCCGGAGATAGTTACATACGAAGTATTTAGAAATTATAATACTTGTATTTGTAAGATAGTTACGTATTCAGAAAACACATGAGAGATTCTATAAATTTGTAAAATCTAAATTATAATATAATTAAAAAAGTGATATCTTAAATAAATAAGTAAAAAAAAACATTACATCCAAATCATTAAAGAATGTGTGTTTTTCTAATATATGACAATTTATGTTTATTTTGTGAGATGATGCATGGTATCATATTTTATCACTATCCCTTACTATCATTAAAAATTAGGAAAAAATATACTACTCTTTTTAAATCATTCGTTCATCATATGTTAATTAATTTATTAATTATGCTCATACCACACATACAAAAAAGGGTAGACTTTAATAATCAAATTTCGGGATGGCGTAGTTTTACACTTTTATAACTTTTATTTTATATATTGATCTTTTCTTTTTTAGAGAACTATCAAATAAGCCCTCGAATTTTCATAAAAAGTGCAAATAAGTCCTTTTCCATGAGGCTTTGTTCGGCTGTCGTCATTTGGGACAGTTTCCGGTGGATTTTTTTGATGAAAATTTTTGAGCATCTTCTTCATTAAGTATAGTTTATGCATACCAAAATTCAGCTACAAATTTATTGCGCTGTCTAACTGCGCAGTTATCTTCCCGATTAAATTTTTGAGCATCTTCTTCATTTGACTGCCTTCCCGATTTAATTTTTAGCTGAAAATTTGGTATGAATAAACTAGACTTAATGAAGAAGATACTCAAAAAAAATCATCAAAAAATTCCACCGTAAATCGCCTCAAATGACGATGGCCGAACAAAGCCTCATATAAAATGATTTATTTGCACTTTTTATAAAAATTTGAGGATTTATTTGATAGTTCTCCCTTTCTTTTTCTTTAACTTCAGTAAAAGTGCTTGCAAATTGCGACTTGCGAGGTTTCAAATAATATAATCCGAGGAAATTAATAAAAATTCCTTTCTTTGCAGAATGTCCTAAATTTCTGTTATCTGGCATGCTGGCAATGGGTGGCGTGCTTTCTTGGTGGGTGACTTCAATTCATCTTGCCAAATATAATTCTTATATTAGTTGGCCTCTTATCAAACTTTACCTCTTTGAAATCATAATAGTTACATCTATAATTATAGAAATAGTGAATAATGTAAAAAGTACTACGTAGAATATACTAGAGAAAACTCTCTCAATAGAAGTAAAACAGAGTACACTTTAATTTGTCAAATAGAAGTATCGTTATTTTGTTATTTTCAAAATAGGAGCATATCATGAATTCTAATAACGAGACGTTTTTGTTATTTTGTTCCTGTAGTGCAACTAAATAAATCATATTTTAGAAATAAAACATATTTAATCTTGTTTTTTAAAGGAGTAATTTGAGTTTGCACTCCATTTTATTATCCAAATTGGACTTTGCATCTTGTTTTTAAAAACCTTTGTTTTGCACTCCAATCCCGTCTGAAAAGACAAAAATGACTCTCGATCAGGAATATGTTAAAGGCCAACAGAATTGTTTATGGGGGCATTTGGGGGATCTCATATGGGGTTGAGGTGCAAACACAAAGATTTTTAAAAACGGAGTGCAAAGTCTAATTTGGACAATGAAATAGGGTGCAAACTCAAATTAACCATTTTTATGCTTTGTCCATACTTTAGTATTTTTTACTCTTATGTTGAGTAAGTTTATGAGAAAAGATGAAAAAATACCATAGAGAGTATTAAAAGTAATAAAAATAGAGAAGATATACTACGTACTCCCTCCGTTTCCAAAAGATCTTGACACTTTGACTTCACAGTTTTTAAGGAAATAAATTTGACTTTACCGTAGAGTACACTGTTTGGCACTGTTTTGAACTATTTGACACTATTTTGTGTAGATTTATTTGCCAAATAAGGCAAATAAGAAAGTTTAAAGATCTTTCTGGCACTGCTAAAAATGAAAAATGTAAAGATCTTTCATAAGCGAATGGAGTATAATAAAGCAAATATGAAAGCATTGCAAAAGTAGTCGTAATATGTTGCAAATCATAACGTACAGATTGAGCCTATGTTGCTCCGTTGCTCAATATGCTTTTACTGTGATCTTCAATGCATGTGAAGAATCAAAACAAGAATTTTGTTGCGTTGAAATTAAGAAAATGAATAAAGTATACGAAGTATTTACTTACATTGTAGTTACATATATACAAAAAGTAAAGAGAATATTATCCGAAATAGGACTAAAACAGTTTCAAAATTCCAAAATAGGAGTGACATATTTTTATTCCCAAAATATGACTAATTATTGTCATGTTTTGGCAACACCAGACTTCAAACATGACAATATTTTCTAAAATGACAGTAATTAGTCCTATTTTGGGAATAAAAAACATGACAGTCCTATTTTAGAATTTTCAAACCTTTTTAGTCCTACATCGGGAATTTTTCCAAAAGTAAAATGCGTAATAACGGAGTATTAATTAATAAATTAGTTCATAAAATTTATATCGATATGATGCTTTCCAAAAAAACATGATCTAAAAAACATCATGATCAAACATTTGAGCGTGAAACAAAGTAAGTTTTATTTTCTATTCCGCATACCATATCGTCCATACGTTGGTAGTCTTCTTGTCAAAATACATATACCTGGAGTCTGTTTAGTAACACTTAAATCGGTTTAACAGGCTGAATCTGCTGAAACTCTGAAGTTTTGGTTGAAATGATTGTATTGGTTGATTCTGCTGAATTAAGAATAAATTATATTTAAAATATATTCAGTATTGTATTAATAAAATAAAGAAAAAACTATATGAAAAATAGCTTAAAAGGTCATCAATGATAACTTCACCCAATACAGTCAGAAAAGTAACTTCAACCTTACTTTTTCTTATTATTACATAATTCGGTACGTCAAAACAAAAGTTACGTGTTTGGTTAAAAAATTGGCTGATAAGCCTGATAAGCTAAAAAACAGAATCATCAAACAGGTCCTTAAATCAATGAGAGAATTCCCCAAATAGGAGCAAAACATAGGGAAAATGCAAAAATAGGAGTACCATGTTTTGAATAGGAGTAACTTTAGTGTTTGGACAAGTATACCCCTACCCAAGCCCCAACAACTTTTAATTAAATGTTTAATTCATAATAAATTCGAAAAAAATTCAAAAAATCGTAGAAAAATAATTAAAAGATTTATAAAATATTAAAAAAAATTATAAAAAAATTTAAATTTTTTATTTTTTAAAAAAAAATAATAAAAAAATAGTTAAACTCCATAAAAAATTAAAAAAATATGGATGCCTTTCCCACCGCTTGTACTACCTCCCTACACCACCACCTCCGGGCGTGAAAAAAAATTCCATTTTTCCTAAAAACTGCCTTTTTCTGAAAATGCCAAAAACATGGCATATTTCTCTTTGCGAATGCCAACATTTTCATTGTTTTCTGACATAAATATGACATTCGTAATGAACTTGACATTTTTTCCCCTGGTGACTGGAGGTGAGGCGGCAGAGGCGGCGGTGAATTTTATTTTATTTTTTTTGAGTTTTTTATTTTTTTGATTTTTTTTTTATTTTTTGAAAAATAAATAAATAAATTATTATTATCGAATAAGTCATAAAATAACTAGGTTAGGATTAAATAAGTCATATTTTAGAATTTACTATGTTAGGGATATTAAGGGTACAAAATTAATGTTTACTCCTATTGAAGGAAGTTTTAAGTTTTACTCCTATTTGTACAATTATGTTTATATTTACTCCTATATTAAGCAATTTCTATAAATCAATCTGTTGCAGTGTTGTCAATTTTAAATTTATCTTATCGATCTCAAATCCAAATCCAATGCACGAAAATCTTTCCAATTTTCATATTAGAGTATATATATACAATGATGGAGTGTGAGAGATATATTTGTTGTTGTATAAACAGAGGGGTATTGTTGGACAAGAACGGCAGAGAGGCAAGCATCCAGATTGAGGATGAGATATATGAAAGCGGTATTACGTCAAGATGTTGGCTACTTTGATTCGCACGTCTCAAGCACAGCTGATGTCATCGATATCATATCTGTAGATATTATGGCTATTCAGGACCTCATCAGCGAGAAGGTGCTTCCTTTCAAACTACTGAAACTATTATTCTAGTGATGAAATTTTTCTTAATTGAAACTACCTAGTTTAATTATCTAGTTCCATCTAATCTAATATGGAGTAAGTAGTACAAAGTATAAAATAAAAAGAGAAAAAGGGTCAAATGAGTCGTCCACTACTATGAAATCATCACATAAGGTCATGTACTCAATAAAGTGTCATATAAATACGTCTACTTATAAAACGCAATCAAATGAGTCCTAATAACGAGTTGACAACCTCATAATCCCGATATTTGCGCACGTCTGCTATCTTTTTAAAATAGATTATAAGGCAGACGTGAAATATTTGGCCAAGATTGGTTTAAATACAAAGCAAAAATAATGACACGTATCGGGATTAGGAGGTTATCAACGGGCTGCTTTGATTCATCCGATTGCGTTTTATAAGTACACGTATTTATATGACACTTTATTGAGTACACGACCTTACGTGACGATTCTGTAATAGTAGAAGGTCTTATTCACCCTTTTCCCAAATAAAAACGAAAAATTGTCCAATAGGCAATGCTTTGTAATCTATGCAGGTATTTTCAAGTTTGACGGTAACAACTCATATTCAAAGAATGAGATATAGTAGTTCTATTTTGAAATTACTCAAAAAAATAAAAATTAGAATCGGAAAAGTGAATCAGACCCGAACCGATTTGGAACCAGAACCGCCGATTTTGGAACCGGTATCGTGTGGTTCGGGTTCCCCTAAATTTGTATCCACAAACTTCCTTGCATAAGGATTCAATTATAGATGCAATCATTCAACTAACTAGCTTAGATAGAGTATAGACAGTTTCCATACTCGCACAATATTTTGATCTTATTATGAGCAATTTCCTTACTAACCATCTATTAGTGGTGGACGCAGGGAGGCTGACGGGGCCTTAGTCCTCAAGAAAAAATTTCTGATGTGTGTGTATATATATATAGACAAATGTTCAGGTCCGGAATTTTGGACCAGAACCGCCATCCGGCCGACGGCTTTTGGGGCTTTTCTCGTTGGCTTTTTTTGATGAAATTTTTATGGTATGTTCTTCATCAAGTCTAGTTTATCCACTAAAAAATTCAGCTAAAAAATCAATCCGGAAGGTCATCAAATGAATTTCGGAAGTTAACTGCGTTTTATATGTATTTATTTGCGCAGTTAACTTCAAAAAACCATTTGACAACCTTCCGTATTGATTTTTTAGCTGAATTTTTTGTGAATAAACTAGACTTGATGAAGAACATGTCATAAAAATTTCATCAAAAAAAACTACCGGAAAGGGTCCAAAAGCCGTCGGCCGGACGGAGTTTCCGGTCAGGAAGGTCTGACGGGAACACTACTCTCTCTCTCTCTCTATATATATATATATATATATATGCATATATACATTTACAAGCAGTACAAAATATAATAAAATTTTAAGCGTTGATTCCTTCGATGTAAAAAAATTTTCTAGTAATCTTCCTAATCATAATTACACATCTAATTTAAACGGGGCGTTGTTTGATAATGGAGCAGATTCCAACATTGTTAACGAACCTGGCGCTTTTTGTGTCATCCTATGTGGTCGGGTTCATGATGCTATGGAGGCTAGCCATCGTCGGAGTTCCGTTCATCGCGTTTCTGGTGATTCCGGGATTGATATCGGGGAGGGCGCTGACCGGAATTGCAAGAAAGATGAGGGCGGAGTACAGTAAGGCTGGGCGCATCGTGGAACAAGCCATTTCTTCAATCAGGACCGTTTATTCGTTCGCCGGGGAAGAGAAGACCGTCGCAAATTACTCCGCTGCCCTCGAGAGGGCCGTGAAGATCGGGCTGCGGCAAGGGCTCGTGAAGGGCTTGGCCGTGGGTAGTAATGGGATTGTCTTTGCGATGTGGGGCTTCATGGCCTATTACGGTAGCAACCTGGTCATCTATCACGCAGCACGTGGCGGCACCGTATTTGCTGTCGGTTCCTCAATTGCCCGCGGTGGAAAGTAAGTGCCCTCAACCATTTGGATTCAAAAATATAAATTATACTCCCTCCGTTCCCAAAAATACTTCATACTTTCTTTTTTGGTCTATTCCCAAAAATACTTCTCACTTTCCCATTTTGGACAATTTGTGTGGCTCACATTCATTTTACATTTTTCTTACACAACCACAACCATACATTTCCATTTTCTTAATAAGCGTGCCAAGTCAAACCGGGAAGAATTTTTAGGAACGGAGGGAGTACTACAATTCTACAAAACCTTAAATTATACTCCCTCTGCCCCCTTTTAAATGTCTCAATTTACTATATTGGGATGTCCCTATTTAATTGTCTCATACCTTATTTGGTAAAGTTTGTGTGGCTCAAAATCATTCTTACTTTATTCTTACTTTATCAATTACTATCAACCACACAAACTCACTTTTCATAAAACTCGTGTCACCCTCTTCCGGGACATTTAAAAGGGGATGGAGGGAGTACTTATACATGGATTATGGACTAGTCTAAATTAATTTAAAGAGTGTAATTGATTCTGGTTCTGCTTCTTTTTTAAAAGTAGAAAACAGAAACAGAATCGGAATCAATTTTCAGAAGCTGATCTCCACAGCTTCTAAAAAACTACTTCTATGAGCAATTTAGAGCATCCAGAAGTACTTCTGCACTTTCACCTAAATATTCCAATATGTGCGAGCAGTTTTCAGAAGTAAATCCAAACACCCTCTAAGTTTGACTCAATATGGTTTGATATTGTTCATGTTTGCTATTACTTTCGCCGACTTCTAAAAAACTACTTATATGAGCAATATGGAGCACTCAAAAGTATTTCTGCACTTTCACCCAAATACTACACTATTTGTTTCTGCTCGAGCATTTCAGAAGTAGATCTAAGCAGTTCCTTAGTTTAACCCAATATAGTTTGATATTGTTCATTTTCTCTATTACAAATAGTATCTAATATGTTGTGATACATCCTTAGCAGGGAAGACACAAAGAAGGACGTGATAGAGTTAGTGAGACGTATTGGATATATGAATCTCTGAAAACAATGTTAGTTTATGCGAATCTACACTGACAAAATTTAGGTTAACTTTGATGGTAATTAAGATGATCCCACGTGTATATATAAAATGTTTTTCTATTAAGTTAGACAATTATTAAGTTAATTCAGATTGATACAATAAATATTTATGTAGATGAAGCTAAATTTACTTATAAAAAGAACATATTTCGAAAACTCTCTACTTCAGAGGGTTCATTAAACTGAGCAATTGGAAGTTTTTTAATTTACTCCCTGAAGTAAATTCTTTGAGCAATACATTCTCATCTAAATTAAAATATACTCCGTAATAAATAAAAAAGAAAATCATGTCTTACCATTATATTGGAAAGTTCAGAATAACTGGTGTCAAGTTTCTTAATCGTAACCCTCGTCCTAAAACTTAACACATGTTTATACGCATTAAAATGAAAGAAAAAGAAGATACAAGTTTTTTATATATGTAAATAGGTAGATTCTATGGTACCCTTAAGGTACCATATCTTTGTCCACATGGATTAATTAGAATGCTGCAGTCGAATTATTTAAATCGAAATTAAAAATGATATAATAATTTGGACCAATCAAGCGATTAGTAGGTACGGTACCCCAATTTTTAAATGGGTACATGAGTTGTCACCATTTAAATATGAGACACGTGGCATAACTTGAACTATTAACGTGCGTTACACGATGGTATGAAATAAGTTTATAAGTTACTACATCCCTGACGAGCACTTTGTCACGGTGCGTCAAAATAATTTTCAATACTAACACTTATACATAGTATAGCGTAGTAGAGTTCGTATCCACAGGGAAATGAATAATTCTCTTTTTATGAAACTAGTAAATAAAAGGGGGGGTTTGGGATTGAATGATTTACATTGAAAACTAAGATGAACAACTTATATGAGATTTAATTCAAAGATAAAATTAAAAGGACTTGGCATTGCTACTTTCCACTTGTTGATATATTTTAGTCGATCATTGTTATATCTATAACTTATTCCCTCTCGAATACTCAATCGAGGAGTATATCTAATTCATCGAGGGTAGTTATTAACAACGACCGTTCATTAATAACCCTTACTATTAGTCAAGTATAGAACACCGCCATATACCGACTTGATAGTAGCTTTTAATCTTTTAACTCCTTGATGAAATCAATTGAGATTGATAACCTCAACACAACGGTTTCGGTTTAACCAACAAAATTAATCCCTCTTAAGTTTATCAACCACGACCGTGCATTAATAAACCGAAGTTATTTACTTGTGAAACCATCAACGATTAACCATCAGTTCGTCGATCGTTTCTAGTAATAATTAATATATGAAACAAAACTAGTTGATCCTTTAAGTAATGTTCAAAATATTAATATGAAATATGAATAGGAATTAATTAATATTCAAGGAAGAATATTATTAAAGGAGATGAATCCTACTATAATTAATATTAAGATGTTAACTAATTGTCATCTTAGCAACACTCCCCAACATTAATATAGAGAAAGAAAATACTATTCTAATTAATGTCGGGATGTTAACTAATTGTCATCTTAGCAACACTCCCCAACATTAATATAGAGATAGTATTAAGGAAAGAACTATTAATTAATATTCAAGGGAAGAAGTTAAGAAACTAACTCACAACTTTAATAATCAACAAGGTTCAAGAGCAACACCAAGAATTGGAAGTTTAGCTCCTCATTTGGAGACTAAACATAGCTAGAATAATATAAAGAAATGATATTCTAAACTGAACTTAAGAGTATGGAAGAAGGGATTCTTATTTGTGAAGGAATAGTGTGCTATTTATAGGTATTTTTCAACACCATGGGCCGGGTACCCGATCGGATCAAGTGCCTACCCGACCGGGTTCAGTCAAAATCAGATATCCTCCACGTTCTGGTGATCTTCAGCACATCGTTTTGTCTCGGGTCACATCTGACCCGACCGGGTCAAGTAGGGGACCCGACCGGGTCCAGTGATTTTCCAGGCAGTTTCGTCTGTTAAATCATACCCGACCGGGTCAAGTGTCATACCCGGTCGGGTTTTAGCTCCTGGACAGTCCAACCTCTTTTTTCTTCACTTCAAAGTCCTCCTTTTCAACACCATAATTCATAATTCTACTTTACAACTTACAAATGAAGATTAAAATACAATTACAACTAAAATCACACAAATGTTTATAAACTAAATAAAACAATAAACGATACATACAAATCCAACATAAAAACATACACTATGCACTACTAATTAGCGCATATCAATCCCCAATTTTATGTGTCATATTTTGGTTTAAAACAATTATTAATGAAAGAGAAAAGGGTCAAATAAGGTCTTCTACTATTACGAAATAGTCACATAAGACCATGTACTCAATAAAAGGTCATATAAGTACCTCTACTTGTATAAAGCAATCAAATGAGTCATAACGGCTTATTTAACACCCCCTAATCCTGATTGTAGCTTACATGTCGATTTTTTTGACTTGTATTTTAACAAATCTTAGTTAAATATTCAACATCTGCCGTATAATGTATTTTAAAAAGATGGTGAGAAGTACGTAGAAACCGGGATTAAGAGGTGTTAAATAGGTCATTATGACTCATTTGATTGCTTTTTAGAAGTAGATGTACTTATATGACACTTTATTGAGTACATGGCCTTATGTGATTATTTCATAATAGTAGAATGCCTTATTTGACCCTTTTCTCTTAGTAAAATGATTGAAAAAGTAAAAGTTATAATTAAAATTTAAGTATAATACACTGAAATGTTATAAATTACATATTTCTATACATTCATACATGAATGAAGTTAACTACTTTACAATTTATTTTTTAATAATTCTACTTTAGCAATTAGATTTTTTTTCTTGACTTAAAGTATGATTATAATCCATAAGAAGTTATCGTAGACGAAAAAGTTTTAATACTCCCTCCGTCCTGTTGGAATGTTCCCGTTCGGTTTACGATGCTTGACTGACGTTAAAGCAACTCGATCCTTGTTCACACTCTGCTTATTTTTAGTAAATAAAATTTACATATTAAGAAACTACATTAAAACTGCTACAAAGCTTGATCAAGAAAAGTTCAATTTGATAAAAAATTGATATATAAAGTAAAAGATTAAGAGTGACCTAAGTTGACCAATGAATAGTGAACATGAACATTCCAATAGGACGGAGGGAGTATTGTAAAATAAAATTTAGTATCCTATAAAATAAGATAAAAATAAAGAATGTATGTAAATAGTTTGTTTTTGTGTTTACAGGGCATTGGGGCCTGTATTTTCAGAAATAAAGTATTTATCAGAGGCTACAATATCACTGGAACGAATAATGGAAGTCATAAAAAGAGTTCCAAGTATCGATTCAGAGAGTAAAGAGGGCCAAACCCTAGAAAACGTATGCGGAGAGCTCGAATTTAGAAACGTTGACTTTGCATACCCAACAAGACCTGAAAGCAAAATTTTGAAAGACTTTAGCTTGAGAATCCCGGCCGGGAAGAAGGTGGCACTGGTGGGGGGAAGTGGTTCCGGGAAGTCCACAGTTGTGGGATTGTTACAGAGGTTTTATGACCCCATTAATGGCGAAATTCTTCTTGATGGGGTGTGTATTAATAAGATTCAGGTAAAGTGGCTAAGGTCACAAATGGGACTAGTGAGTCAAGAACCAGCCTTATTTGCCACCACAATCAAGGAAAACATATTGTTTGGAAAGGAGAGTGCATCCATGGAAGAGGTCATTCAGGCTGCCAAAGCTTCAAATGCTCATAACTTCATTTCTCAATTCCCACTTGACTATGATACCCAGGTTTGACATTCTGCTATTTGTCCTTTACCCTTGCCCATGTTGCCTAATTTCTCAACTCACAATTAGGGGCACTCGATCAGTACAAAGAATATTTTTGAAAAAATAAATATATTTTTGAAAATATCTTAAAAGTCAAGATTTTTTTTAATTTGGGATGGGCGAGAGCATAGGGTGACCCCCTAGGACGAGAGCCTTTGTAGAAAACGTACGTTCATTCTATACTCATAATGAGTGTATGTTTGTCATTCTAAAAAAAATTAAAGTTCTTCGGATGACGCTTAATTAAATTTAAAAAAAAAGTGGAGTTCAATGATAGGTATTGAATTTATAAAGTGTATACAAAGTAAGAGTGAATAGCGGAAATCCAAGTATAAGCAAATATATATGGAATAAGATAAATTTAGTGGGATGAACGGAAAAAGGAAAATGAGACAAAGAGAGTATATATTTTAGCTAATTATGCACTACAAAACTTTTTACTAAATAGTACAACTTCTACTTTTCCAAAATCATTTACTAGTATATTTTGAAACTGCCTATTTTTCAACTAATCAACTCTTTTGTAATATGTAAAATAGATCTCTTCTCACAATCATAAGCAAACAAAAACATTACCATAAATTACTTAAGTCATCACATACCAGCAATATAGTGGCACGAAAATATAATATTTGACTGGTCAAAGGTACAAATAATACTCCGTACTACCTCTGTCCCAAAATACTTTGTTAAATCTTAAAATTTGGATCATGATTTTGATTAGTATAATATTATGGAAACCATACATTTTATACTTTTATAAAAGTACTTCTAATAAAGAACATGTTAATATCATTTTTATGTTTAAATAATTCAATAAATATATATAGTTTGTCAGAGTTTTAAAGATGCATCTGGTCGTATATAATTTTAATATAATTTTAATATCATGTACTTCTATAAATATATATAGTTTGTCATAGTTTGTCAATAAACGTATATGCATCTTGCCGTCACCCTATAATCATTCCCTACTTCCAATACTATATGATGGTGAGTGTAAAAACACAAATTCAAAAATAAGCGATTAGACTATTTTTATCAAGTTTTATTTTTATTAAAGAATATAATGTATTCATCATATTATTGAAATATTTAATGTGATATGTTTTACTCTTAGGATTATATATATATAATTTTTAACGTGTATATATATATACACGTTAAATAAATAAAATTTGGTTTTAAATAAAATTGTCTTTTAAATGAGCTTCATGGAAAAATGTGTAGAATGAATGTTGCACATTTGAGTGAGAATAAACATCTGCCTTCCATAAATGAAAATACATAATTATTTTTGTATATATTGTTATTAATGTGTATGATATAGGTGGGAGAAAGAGGGGTGCAGATGTCAGGAGGGCAGAAACAAAGAATCGCAATAGCAAGATCCATAATTAAGACACCCAGAATCCTTCTCCTTGACGAAGCGACTAGTGCACTTGACTCTGGATCAGAACAGCTGGTCCAAGAAGCACTTGATGAGGCCTCCATTGGACGGACCACCATCATCATAGCTCATCGTCTCTCTACAATCAAGAACGTTGATCTAATTGCGGTCGTTCAAAATGGTCACATTAAAGAAATTGGTTCACATAAGTGCCTCATTGAAGATGAAGATGGTATTTACTCCTCCCTTATCCACCTCCAGCACACTGCAAGTGCTCATGAAACTTCTAAAATGGTCACGCTTGATGTGGTTACAAACTCTCATGCTGAGAGCATATCTGTTAAGAACAGATCCAACTTAACCCCAAAAGAGTTGCTAAGAGAAGAAGATTATACAACTCATCTTAAGGGTGTTGATCGTACATATTTATCCGATGTAGGAGATCATGGTGTTAAGAAAAAAGATGTCTTTCACAAGCCTTCATTTAAAAGACTACTTTCCATGAACTCTCCGGAATGGAAGCAAGCCACATTAGGCTCAATAGGAGCAATTCTATTTGGTGGAGTTCAACCATTGCATGCATTTGTATTGGGTTCCATGGTATCAGTGTATTTTTTGCCCAACCATGATGAGATCCAACGAAAAATCAAGGTGTATGCTTTATGCTTTCTTGGGCTTGCCGTTTTCTCATTTTTCATTAATATACTTCAACATTATAATTTTGCTGTCATGGGAGAGTACTTAACTAAAAGGGTTAGAGAAAGAGTGTTGTCTAAGCTGCTTACGTTTGAAATCGCTTGGTATGACAAGGATGCAAACGCTACCGGTTCCATTTGCTCAAGACTTTCTAAAGATGCCAATGTGGTATGCCTTCTACTTGTTAGTTATTAAGTATTTTTGTTACACTGCACATTATATATAGTATATACACGTTAAGTGTCTCGCATCAAATGTTTATCATGCCTAATGTGTAATTGTGCCATATATAAACACACCACACATGCCCTCCCCATTCATTTGAAGTAATCTATATGTACTTTCCATTTAGAAAATATTACTTAAAAACTTATATGATGGAGGAAAGGCTAGGGTTGCCCACTCTTGTAAGCTAGACTCGCTGCTACACATGGGGCTAGTTTTTGGGGTAAATATGAATCCGATAAATGTTGAGTTCTTACACAAACACATTGAACCAAATGCAGGTTAGATCTCTGGTGGGTGATCGTATGGCATTGCTAATTCAAGCAGCCTCGACAATACTTATAGCATGGACAATGGGGCTCATTATCACATGGCAACTTGGACTTGTTATGGTGGCAGTCCAACCGTTAATCATATCTTGTTACTATTGCAAACGCGTTATGCTAAAGAGCATGTCAAAGAAAGCAAACAAAGCCCAACAAGAAAGCAGCAAGCTCGCAGCAGAAGCAATTACAAACATGCGAACTATCACTGCATTCTCATCCCAGTCTAGAATTCTTGATATGCTCAAAAAATCTCAAGAAAGTCCCAAAAAAGAGAACATCCGCCAATCATGGATTGCAGGCATTGCACTTGGTGCTTCCAATAGCCTCATGACGTTTACTCGGGCTTTAGGCTATTGGTACGGTGGTAAGTTGGTTGCAGAAGGCGCTACTGGAGCTAAATCAGTCTTTCAAACGTTTCAGATTTTATTGACAACCGGGCGAGTCATAGCTGATGCTGGGACCAGAACCAATGATCTAGCCAAAGGTTCTGATGCGGTGGGATCTGTGTTTGCAATATTGGACCGTCACTCAATGATTGAACCCAAAGATTATAATGATAATGAGGTTTTATTTGGACACATCGAATTCCAAAACGTTTATTTCGCATACCCCGCAAGGCCTAACATCGTTATTTTCAACAGTTTTTCAATCACGTTTGATGCGGGGAAGTCAACAGCTCTTGTTGGATCGAGTGGTTCTGGTAAGTCAACCATTATTAGCTTGATTGAAAGATTCTACGATCCGATTGACGGTGCTGTGAGAATAGATGGTCGTGATGTAAAATCATACGACTTGCGTACTTTAAGAAAAAACCATATTGCACTTGTGAGCCAAGAGCCGACATTGTTCGCCGGAACAATACGAGACAATATTTTATACGGGGCAGCGGGTGAAGCCAATGAGGTAGAGATCATCGAGGCAGCAAAGGCAGCCAATGCTCATGATTTCATTTCATCGTTGGAGGATGGGTATGACACTTGGTGTGGAGATAGGGGGTTGCAGTTGTCTGGGGGGCAAAAGCAACGGATAGCTATAGCCAGGGCACTTCTAAAGAACCCAAAAATATTGTTATTGGATGAGGCCACAAGTGCATTAGATAGCCATTCAGAGAAATTAGTCCAAGACGCACTTGAACGACTCATGATGGTTGGTAGTCGTACTAGTGTGCTGGTAGCACACCGTTTGAGTACCATTCAACACTGCGATTCTATTGTTGTATTAGACGACGGGAATGTCGTGGAGAAGGGGACTCATTCATCTTTGCTGGCCAAAGGGCCTAGTGGGACCTACTTCTCCTTGGTTAACCTTCAATCAAACGCTACCCAACTCAACTCAAGTAATGAGGAGTAGTCATTGTATTATTGTATGTCACTCATCTTTGTAACTGTCTTGAGACATACCCCACAAAATGACATATATGTGATGTTTGAAATTATATTCTAATGTAACATAGGATGTATCAAACTATGGACATGTATATTATTGTATATTTAATCACATAAGTTTTAGAAAGAACCATGTACACATTATGTTATTAGCTCCTTTATTGGGGACACATTAAGATGTACACATTATGTTATTAGCTCCTTTTTGGGGACACATTAAGATGTCTGTAATCGGCAACTATACATTGTCAAATGCTTCCTATAATCTTTAGGGTTATGGCTAATTATTATTACATACAGAAGATAATTATTGAAATCGATGTTAATGTATTCTAATATTATATACATGAATGAAATGTTAAATATAAAATATATGCATTGGAATTATACTATTTGAAAAAAATATTTTGACTTCTATCATTAATACATTCAATAATATAATAAATTAATAATATATAATGATTTTTGCCTTTTAAGCGCAGCATACAAACTGAATAAAAATATTAAAAACATATTCTTACCTATGAACATTATTTAAAGCTAATTCACATTGGATATGTTTGGCAAATGGCTTATCAGCCAGCTTTTAGCTTGTTTGACCCATTTCAACTGTTTGATTAGTCAAAGAAGCTAATAATAATGTTTGGTAAATGACTTTTAAAATTAGCTTGTTAAGTTTGAAAAGCTGAAAAAATGGATTGTGGAAGAAGCTAAGGGGAGCAGCTTCTTCATTTGGCTGGTTCAATTTACACTCTATCAGCCATTTCGAAAGAGCCAATTTTACCAAACAGTTATTTATAATCAACCAACATAACCAGTCGGTCAAAACAGCTAACACAACCAGCTGTTTCGAAACAGCTGACACAACCAGCTACCAGCAACAGCTAACAACCATTTACCAAACAAGGCCATTGTAGTCAAACATTAGTAACTGAGTGTCTTAATCCCACTATTCACGTTTTAAAATCATTTTTAAAACGTTATGTTTGTTGAATTGTTGACTAAACTCATATCGTTTAATTCAATTGTTGAATAACAGAACCACAGCCTAATTTAAATGGTCTGGCACTTTTGAAAAGAAAAAAAAATAATGTCTCGCCATCAAGTAGTGATCATTACAAAATGTTTCACTTTAGACTAATTTATTTTTCAATTTTCAACTATCCAACTCTACGGAGCCGACTGGCTAGACTTTATTTTTTTTTTTCAATTTACTTTCCCCAGTCCCACCTTAATTCGGCTTAAGTTTTTTATTTAATATGCTTAAGGTTTCATCATGCAAAATAATATAACTTATAATCATATAAAATAATCCTGAAATAACATTAGATGGAATTCATCAAAATTTAAGTGTTGGCCACTTGACAACATGAATTATTTGTTATTGTTTTGTTATATACGGTCATACAGAGTACAATTTTTTAACCAAATATCTAATAATTAAATAGTTCGAGATATGCTCAAGTAACTTAAATTATGGAGAAACTTGTGTGCAAAACGTTTTATTATCTAAGATATTTCTCTAAATAAGAATAAAAATTGTGTGATTTTCCTAAATATAAATATTCCCCTAAATGAAAACAAGTAGTGACGTAGTGTTATTTTGAAAACATACCATCATAGTGAGGTTCTAATGTCATCTTTTAAATATCTAAAAACATCATAACAATGATGGTATGATATTGAGATGATAATACTTCCCCTAAACGCAACAATTTTACACTATTCACATGTTTTATTTTGACTACGCTTTATTTATTAATGTATTAATAAATTATTGTTTTTAAAATATTGTTAAATTTGTCTTATTGTAAAATTTCAAAATCTGATTTTTTATTTATTTTTTATCAATAGAGAATTACATACTACGTATATTAATGGTTAAAGTTGTGCATCGGCAACGTGAGAAGATGACCGTTCAACTTATTTAAGAACGGAGAAAGTATGTCACTACGGTTTAAAGATAAATTACTATTAGGCTCATATTTAGGGAATACTCCTTGATTTCATTTCTATTTTAGAAAATCATCATCACCACCACAGTTCCGCAAAGGCGACCACCTACAGTGGGGTACGGGGGGTCGAATGCATGCAGTCTTACCCATGTACTAAAGCTAGAACAAAGAGACGTTTTCCGGATGACCCATGATGAAAATTGCGTCGAAAATTGCATGACATGACTGTTGCTGCATAACAAAGAAGCGCAAACGGTTTAGTGGGCTATTTTGCCTTATTTCATCATATTCTCAAGCCAAAAAATAGTGAATCTTTGGCTCCAATGCAATTGATGGCATATTTTAGAAAATTCCCTCTTTTTTGAAAATTATATCTAGAATGTGAGTGACCAATTTGGTGCTATGAGAATATGGTGGAGCCTCCGATTATTACAAGTTAGCCAATATTTAAATTTTAGACTAAAAATTGGTCTCCACATGTAAGTTCAAGGAAAAAGAAATCTCTTCATCTTATAAAGGCTTTGTTTAATGTTCTGGGAAAATTAACATGAGCAAATGTAATAAGGTCAAACCTCCAACAAGAGAAAGAGAGTTTTCAATAGTGCAAGTGTTCATATGGCCCAACATTAAAATGAGTTGTATAATACAGCTCAACACATGTTTCCAGGAGTAGGATTGTTTTGTTTTACTATTCGAATAGACATGTTTGAAGAAGAATAAAATTTAGGAAAATTCTACGGTGCACTCCTAAATTTTGAGTGCACCGGTACACACCTTTTCTTATCCAGCCACATTTTAGTATTGTGCTACTAAATATGATTAACGACTTGTAATGATGATTGAGTTATTAGCCTAAATATGATTGAATTGTTTCTTTAATAGGACTTTTATACCATATTTGTCCTTCCTAATATAAATAAGGTTTAAATATTTTTTAATCTCTGCAAATATAGTATCCCTGCAAAATTATTTTTTTGTTTTTCATTTCTAAAATGTATTTTAGTTTTTCTTTTAGTCTACCTAATGATGGAATTTAATACGTATTTTAAAAATGTGAGTAATTAGTTTTTATTTTTTTAACTATCATAGTTTCCTCAAAAAATTTATAGGGATGATTTTTTTTAGTGATATACTAAAAACCAAATAATGCATAATACAAGAATGAAAAACAAAAAAAATATTTTGCAAGGACTTAAATCATATTTAAACCTATAAACAATTGCCCCCTAGTTCCCTATACCGGTGATCCGGATCCGCGGCGTCAGCATCAGTGTAGGCCAAATCTTTAGCGGTAGAGGCCGGATCTTTAGCGCCGGCGGCCGACGTGGCCAGATCTGGTCAGATGTACGGTGGTGGTTCATGGCAAGATGTGCAATGTCGGTGGTCAGATCGGTGACGCCCAGATCTGACCAGATGTACGAAGACGGCGGCCAAATGTGTAGCGCCGGCTGCCAGCGGTCAACAGCGATGTTCGGCCGCATTAAGTTTTGTCAAGCTTCAAGGTGTACTTTTGTACTCCTGTCCAACTACAAATAATAATTCCTATTTTGAATACTTTTAAACTTTGCACATACTTTGACAATTAAATATTTATTTATTTCTATTTAAATAAATCTCCTTTGACGATTTTGTTCAGTTTAACCTTTTTTTCTAAGCCGGTGAAGGATCCAAATGTAAAAATGGCAAATTATTATGTTTAGTTAATGAGGATATCAGGTGGCATAAGATTAAGATATAATGGGATAGGTGGTTAAAGAGGATGATGGGTGGTTAAAAAGGATGTGTATCAAAACACACCAAATTAATGAGTGCACCGTAGAAGCACCCTAAAATTTATTACTCGCTATGTATTTTTACATTTTTATTTATAGAAAATGGTCCCGTATTGGATTAAAACATCCCTAAAATGCTTAAATAAGACCTTCTATGTTTTTCACCTAACAGGACCATTTTTATCCTATTTTTAAACATATGGATGTCCAAGGACAAGTTTGCCCCTCCTTAGTCCTCACCAGTCTCCTTATTTGTGACCATTTTTCTGTGTTTCTATCTCACATGTATTTCCTCTTGTCAGTTACGATCATCTCTTTCCTTTTCCTTTTTTCGCTTCTGGTTATTGTATTCTTCCATTTTCTTCATGTGTTTATGTGTCCAAGTTAACGATCAACTCATATATCTTTTCTCTTCTCTGGCTAATTTCACGACCAACATCATTTAATTTGTTAGATGAGGCGCTGCAATTCTTCTGGTAATAATCACCTACTATGGTTATCATTCTTTATCTCATTTTCTAATATTGTAGGACAAGTTCACGACATAAATCATATATAGAAATGTTTTTATTGTTTTCATGTTATATATAATTCAAAAACTAAAATCATGTACGATGTGTGTGTTGAAATATGGAAAATATGGTCCTAGTATACATATATGATCTTCTCTTTTATAGTTAGTTCATTTTTTTATTTATTAACATCATGTGTCTACAATGCCCTATTTGTTGTTGTCAATTTTATTATAATGACATATTCTTGGCATAATCTGTATTCATGTTTGACCAATTTATATGTGTTTTCCGATTTATCCATATGGAATATGTTGTTCTGATCATGCTGAAGTTGGATGGTAGTTGGACCAATAACTACAACTTCAACAGTAACGTCACCTTTGTGATTCAAGTTCAATTCATTATTCTGCTACATACAAAGACTTTATATAACAACTTTTTCCATATTAAGTGATTACAACCCAACAAATCAGTTCAAGTTATCTTATATGGTTGATGGTTTCCCTCCATCTGTTTAAATCAATGATGAATCCGCTTATCGTTTTCCCCTCAACCTTAAGGTTGTTCACGCTGATTTCAACAAGTACCCCTTGTGCATGGAATTACCAATTGATGTTATAATCCTTGCTCGGTCTCTGCAGAACAAAATGATATACTCGGTATTTCTGCTTCATTAAATGAAGTTTCTTTTGAGGAAGATGATAATATTAGTGACCAGAAATCTGAATCCAACCCTTACATCCTCATTCATTCAAAATCCTACTACCAACTATCAGAACTTAGTTGTTTAATTATGTATATATAATGGCATTCTATTCCATCCAACAATGACAAAAACGAAGTTGATAAACTTTACACTGTCATACCAACCCTATATTACTATATAGAGAATTTATTACTCTTTTATTTATCAATAGGAGAATTTTCTCCACTACTCAATTCTACTTAGGGATTTATATTTGTGCACATGAAAGGACTTTTGGTCATATATAGTCGTTTTGCGAATTTTATTGTTACTACTCCCTCCGTCCCACAATGAACTTCACAGTTTGACCTACACACATATTAAGGAAATAAACTTACCATGGAGTAAATTTTACTGTTTTGACACTGTTTCGACACTGTTTGGCACTGTTTTGCACTGCTTTGACACTGTTTGACATTGTTTTGCACTGTTTGGCACTGTTTTAATGCAGATTAACTTGCCATTTAAGGAAATGGGAACTTGTTTCTGGGACATCCAAAAAAGGAAAGTGGGAAGTTCATTACGGGACGGAGGGAGTATTTATTAATATATATACTCTTATAACTTCTAAAAGACTATATAAATATGCATTTTCTTATAAGGAACGGTAAGGCAGGGGGCACGGCCGGTTAACCAATATTTGGTTAACCGCGATTTCAGTTACTTTATCGTCAATACCATTATCGTACCATAGATGGGTTAACCGAGCATCGGTTAACCGAAATTTCAGTTTATCACTAAACAATTAACCAAATAACCAGTGGAAATAATAAACCTGCCAAGTTAGTAAACATCTGATTTATCAAACAAAAATGCATAAGTTGTTCAAGACTAAAATAGAAATAATTCCAAGTCTACATATTGAGGAAGCGGTTCACCTCAACTAGTCGCCGACTCACTCTCTCTTGTGGCAGGTCTTGGGTTCAAAATTTCATTGGAACAATTTTGAACTACGTTTACCCCAGGCCCCTCAGGGCCCCTTCCCCTGACCCCCCACTGGAGTAAAACAATGCAACTACTACTCGCTCTGATTCTCTACATCAGCATAACTGATAACCACTCATGGTGGTTTATATTAACTTATATGCTTTCATAGCATCAACTTTTCCAAAATCTATATTAGAATCTTTCCACGCCACACGGCCACAGTGGAAGCATCACAACTTGCAAAAAAAGATGCAGTTACGTTTCCTCTTCTGGTCGACACAGGCAACACAAGGGATTAATCTCAACACGCCTCCTCAGATTGTTCGTTGTGGGGAAGAATCCCGCCATCATTTGGAAGAAAAAATATTGAATTTGGGGGGGGCGCAAAAATTCCACATTTTGATCCAACTGAGCCACCAATTGCCCTGTTTTAGGGTTATTATTACTATTCAACTACTTATCACTATTGTTTATATTAATATTTTTTTAAATAAATTATTGATATGTCAAATAACTTAATTAAAGAATGTATATTTGATCAAAACGTTGAGGGCACATTTGTATTTCAACTTAATTACAGGAAAAAATGATCGGTGTATATCGATTAGACTGATAGGTAAATTTTATCGAACGGCAATTAGGCCGGCATTACTATAGAGCATAAAGTGTTGAACGTTGAAACAATGTCACATTCAGAACATGAATGTTACAATCATACACATGTTACGTTGGATGTGTGGACATACCATAAAAACTCCTTGATGAATGAGATAATCACACAAAATATAGAAATAACACATATAGAAGATAAAATGCAAAAGTTTCGATTACGCTGATTTGGTCATGTGAATGGCAAACCGAGTGATACACTTCTTAAACGAATTGAGAGGTGAGGAGAAGAAGAATGGGAACACCCAAACAAACGTGTATTAAAGAGAGTGGTATGCTTCTTCTTGGATTGAATGAGAATATGACATTAAAGAAAACAAAATGAATGGATTGATCTCTTTTCAATCTTTTTTCTTATTCTTTTTATCTTCTTTATCTTTTTATGTTCTTTATCTTTTTATCCTTTTTACTTTACATATTTTCTATCTCATTTATCTTATCTTTTTTATCTTTATCTTATATTTATCTTTTTCTTTGTACCTTATCCTTTTTATCTTATCTTGTTGTTTTCTCTCTTAGTTTTCTTTTCTTTTTGCTCTATCATATATGGATTCATGTTAGCCGATTCCAAAATCTTTTGAGACTAATCAAGGGTTTTACCATATACCAACATTAGATGTTTAACACCAATGTAACCTTGTTTCGCTCTGCGGCCCTTTACATGATGCCAAATTGCCAATGGTCGAGCCAGTCAAGTGACATACTGACATACATTTGCATGACAACTTCCAAATATGCAGAAACAAAAATATGATACACGAAGAAATAAAATCCAGTGTGGTTTAGTATAGACGTGGTGCCACGGTGCCACCTCTCCCGTGGACAAGTTGATTCTCTTCACACCCCTACGTTACACACAGTAGACCAGCATCTCGAAAAACATCCCGTTCCAAGTATGCACACAATATCACACATGAAAAATGATAAGAGTTATGTCCCCCAATAACACTTCAAAGCATTTGTAATACGGGCCCCTTTTCTTACTCTTCCCCGGGCTGTTTTGGCATATGCGTTTTAGTGTAGATTCGGTGGCGCCTCTCTCTCCCATACACGACCCAGAACGTAAGAGAGAGCATTACTGCAACAGCAACCACAACTAACCCACTATAGACCCACTCACTGTAGCGACGTAGGCCAGGACAGTGTGATGTGTGTATTTCGTTGAAAGTGACTCTCACAAAATCACAGTTTTGGAGATTGGTAAGGAACTGGCCGTAATGGTACAGCCCGAAGCTTACATTCACTGCAGCAGCCATTTGAGAGTAGATCATGGGTGTCAGACGACCGGTTGTGATGCATATGCCACTAGAGGAAACTTTGCATACATAGTTACTCCAGACCTGCATCGTGTGACACAAAAAAGATGCTCTTGTAAGTAAAAACGCTCTTGTTTTGATCATTTTGATGATACTCAAAACACTCTCAAACATATGAGAGTGTTGTGCTTCGCTAGAGCTTTTCCACTTTTAGTCATCTAATAGACTATTTTAATAGAAACACTTTTGATTCTCATCTTTGAATTTTTCCACTCTAAATCGTCTTACTGTTCTTTGAATCTCGTCTTTATTTCATTTTTTTCCCTTAGCTTATTGTGACAATGACACTTGGTAACTGCTGTGTCAAATTTCAGAACCAAATGACACTATCTAAATAGTCATAGGACTAAAAGAGTAAAAGTTCAATGACATGTACCTAGTGTCTTGACACAATATAGTCCTAAAACGTAAAAATTCACAGATGTGTACAAATTAATTTTTTTTATCAATGCGACTATCTAGATGTTGGAAATATTATGAAACCACAACATTTTCAGACCATGAAGCACTATTCCAAATGAAGTTGCAGACACGCCAGAGACTAGAATAAATTGTAAACATTCCTCACAGTTGACAAGTTGTATAAAATTGTGAATTATGCATCTCATAACATCACAAGAATACGTTTTAACAAACATGGCCATTATACATTTCCCAACTACCCAAAACAGAAAGTAGCACATTCAATGATATATTGATATCTCATCAAATACATTCAAATCCTTAGGCTGTGTTTGGATCTCTGAATATGATAGTAAAAGAGCAATAATGATGAAAAAGATATTTTTATGTTTTACTGTACTTTGGAAAATGCAATTAAAAATGAAATATTATTCATTTATTTCAAGAAAAACTATGTTTTCCTCGATGATTTATCTAGCTTTCTTAGTCTTTATATGATACAAATAAATTTTTAAAATGAAGTTTGAGTCTATCCTTTATTTTACCTGATAATCTTCTTTCCCTTCCCACTTTCTCCCCTATTTACTACAAAATTTCTCTCTATTTTTTTACAGGTTCGAAACGGACCCTTAAGCAATGCGAAAATACAATGCAGTACCTTTGTCGCGTTGCTCAAGTGCACTTCTCCTAGAGCACATGCCCGATCTGTTAGGTCAGCATGAAACGGATTGCAAAGGATTGGAACCCGAGGTCCGGATTGGTTGAAGTATAAACGACCAGAGTTGGGAGGAAGGTTATTATTTGAGACAGTGGTGATGAATTTGTTATTGACATCAGAGAGTTGGTATGTAACTTCCTTGCTTTTCTTCAAAGTGTCTTGTGCAGTGGCGTTGTCCACACAAGGCAGTATGTCATCCAAAGCTGTATGAGCCGTTGGGTTTTGGACCCACTGATCCATTGCAACGCAAGAATCTGCTGTCACACTGAGTGCCATGTCCCACACAAATCCATCAGATTTATCAGTACAACAACAACATCCAAGCCTTATTCCCAAAAGATTTTGGGGTCGGCTAATGAACTATTGTGAAACATCTGCCCGTCTATGGCTAGGGTCTACCCAGACCCAGCCTGACGCGTGCAATATATTAACTTGACATAACTCACCCCAAAAGAATCCTCAATATATGAAGGTGTGTGGTTTATTCAAACTTGTATAATAGATTTAAGCCTAATAGACAAACTATGTGAGATACTCAACATTTCATGCACCACTAGCGCTATTTACAAGGTGCTGCAATAATAACTCTAAAAAGCTCAGGGAGCATTGATGTATTTGAATCTGAGCAGCTTACTTGTGAAGAAGAAGAAATATGCCACATAAAATGAAAGTTGCAGTTATAAGAATCCATCCAATGACCACCAAGCTGCAAAATTGAACCACAAAGCTAATTTTTACATGGATAAACAACAAAACCACACATAAACCCAGGAAAGAAATGAGAAGAAGGTTGGAAAACTACAAAGAGTTTGTATATATAGAAATAAAGGAAAAGGGTCAAATAGAGCCTTCTACTATTTTAAATCCATCACTTAAGCCCTTCTACTAAAAAGCATCATATAAGTACGTTTACTTTTAAAACAACAAATCAAGCCATTTTGACCTGCTATAGCAATTATTTTTTATAAAATAAATTAGGACTATTGATAAATCTTATAAAAATTCATATAAATTTGAAAAATAATGTGATAATAATATAAAAATAGTATAAATGTAAAATAGATGAATAATTTAAAAATGTTGAAGAAAAAAATAAAAAAATCAGAAAACTGAAAGAAAAAAAGTTAAAATGTAAAAAATATAAAAAAAAATGTAAATACCTTTTAAATAGATGTAGAATATAAAAATAATTTCAAAATTTCAAAAATTAACTTTGACATTCTGAAATTTTACTCAATTTTTATCTATATTTCTTTATATTTTAACAATTTTTTAGAACTTTTTAATATACAAACCTGCTATTACAGGTCAAAAACTGATTAACTGGTCAATATTATCAATTTTTTAAAGTACACGTAATTATATGATACTTTTTTGGTGTAGGGGATTAAGTGACGGATTGGAAATAGTAGAAGGGCTTATTTGACCATTTTCCCTAGAAATAATGACTAATATAAGTCTAGATAGAAATAATTAACAAAAAGATTACTTTAAATACAGAGTGACAATTGTGGTAACTTCAAATTGACTATCATCACCCATGGTGATGTTCAACTTTACAATGCTACTCCCTCCGTCCCCCTATAATTGTCCCATTTTTTCATTTTTGGATGTCCCTTTATTATTGTCCCATACCATATTTGGTAACATTTGTGTGGTTCTAATTCATTTTTACTTTATTTCCACTTTATCAACTTATTACCAACCACATAATTCTACTTTTCTTAAAAACCACACCACTCCCTTCCGTACCAATATTAGGGGGACAGAGGGAGTAGTATTTTCAAAGTGCCAAATATGTAGTCATAATTTTGTATATCAGTTTTATTTTAGTAATATTATAGATAAACCCCATATATATATATATAGAGAGAGAGAGTACACCAACTCACATGTACACAAGAAACTGCATCCCGAATATAGAAAACACTGGTGATCAAGATAAAGCCAAAATGAATGAATTAGTCATCAAAACTATTTAAAAATTCCAAATTCATGAATCAGCAATAAAAATGCCCTCTTACCGAATCCAAGAAATGTTAAAAGGAGCATAATAGCAGATAGAACAATAAGAGCCACTCTCCTGCATTGAAGTATATTTTGTGACTGGATAGAGAATACAGAGAAATGCTTTAATAAAAGATTCATTAATTTCACTTACACAGATTCTATCAGGTTGTCTATATCATCTTTGTTTTCTGAAGTTTTACTAGCAAGTTCACTCGAGGAAGAGTTGATCTTGGTCAGGATGTCATCGATATCACTTTTCACATTACCAGGAAGAAGAAATTGAGCCACTGAGACCTGTTTGGCTGCTGCCAGATATCCTGAGACATCCCTGAGAGTGTCTGCTGTTGTATTTGCCTGGTCAACTACATAGTCCAAAGTATTTATTGTACTACTATGAAATTTTCCCTGTCCAACGTACAGAATAATGCAGCCAACTCTGAACACACAAGAAAAGTAAAAGAAATTATACTATCGTAATATGTTACCAAAGATGAATGATTAAATAAACAGTAAGGTTAAGTCATTCTTCCCCTATAATTAAGCATTGGTTTACATTTCCTGAAGGGTATTAGCAGGAGGGGTGTTCCGGAGGAGAATGATTGATTTATTGTTTTTGAATTAAGAGAATTACATATGTATATTGAAAATAATTAAATAATTAAGGTATTGAGTTTATACCAATCTAGTTTAGGATTTTAAAGTTTTTACTTTGAAAATTTATCAAGCTAACACCAGCGGCGGACGCAGGAATTCCCGCTAGGAGGGGCTGCAGTGTAAAAGGAATTCCCGCTAGGAGGGGCTGCAGTGTAAAAAAATACATACAAATACATATATATTAAACTTTTGGGGTAAAAATACCTAGGACAAACATATTTGGGGGGGGGGGGGGGGGGGGGGGGCATTAGCCCCCCACTGTGTCTGCCACTGGCTAACACACTGTTTTCTAAAAATGAAATATAACTCCTCCCCCATTTCTCCTCCAAAACACTCCTCACAAACATCTTTGAGAGGAAGGTTCTGGATTGGGAAGGGAGTAGAGGGGCTACTTTTATTTTAGATTAAGAGAATGATCTACAGCTGTTAAACCAGTACTTTAAAATTTAGTTTAGTAAATGTAAAACCAATACTTTAAAATTTAGCTATGTATACTTATTAGGCCTTTTTTGATGAATATGACTACATTCGATTCAAAAGACAAAAATATGACTTAAAATTTTTCTCCAAAAAAATGACATATTCAGTCACTAGTTCTCAGTGACTTGTCACTCTGAAATACATTATAGTGACTCTTGTCCAGTTACTTGTGCACAGTGACCGGTCATATTTTTGTCCAAAAACAGAACTAGTCATGTTTTTGTCCGGGGAAACTCTATAAGTAATATACATGTCATTTTTTCTTGTTATTATCTACAGCTTAAATTACATTATAAAGAGAGTCCATTGGAATTTAAAACTTAAATGTCATGATCTGGATGGCCCATAAGCTGTTAAAGTGAAAAGTGAAAATTAGCATTGAGGGGCGTACACTGCAGCAACAGTAAAGAGAATGAGGAAGATCAGAGAGAGAGCATATGCTAATCGGGAATATCCATAACGTTCCCGTGCACAGCAGCAGTAGCATACACAAATGAACATCAAGCTTAGCCCAAAGACTGCAAACCATATTAGAGCAGCTAGAAAGAATGGAACAGCAGTAAACCCCACAGACTGCAAAAACAAAACAAGAAAATAATCTATAAACATAATAGACTGTAGACATCATTGAAACAAATACTCCCTCCGTCCCATTTAAACGTTCCCACACTGTTTACGACGTTTGACTGACCATAAAGTTAACTGATCTCTGTCATTAGTGGAATTATTTTTAGTAAATAAAATTTACATATTCAGACAGTACATTAAAACCGCTACAAAGCCTGGTCAAGAAAATTTAAATTTGATAAAGGTTGTATATATAAACTACGGAGTAAAAGATTAAGAACAATGCACGTTGACCGGAGAATAGTGGACGGGAACCTTTAAATGGGACGGAGGGAGTAATGACTAACATAAATGTAATGAACAAAAGTATGACTTTAAGCGAGGAGACTATAATGGTATTTTACCAAACTACAGTGAGTACACTAATGTTCAGTTTTACACTGCAATGATCATGATAATATTCTCCAGGTACTGCAGTGACCATGCAGTCATATTTTTTGTTTATGAATTCTATTTTAGTAAAATAAGAGGAAAATCACCAACTAAGTCAAGAGTTGCTTATTCTACCACAGAATATTGTTTAAATAATGCATCTTGCATATAGTTATAATAAGGAAGTTTCTAGCAGCAGGGTCAAGAAGCAGCACATGCTGTAGAGGCTATTTAAAGATATCTCAATAGGAAGCTATATCTATAGCCAAAATAATACGGTTTACAAACAGCCTAGTAAGCCTACATACAGGCAAACAGCAAGAGAACACAGTTTGCCTACATATCGACTTCAATTTTTAAATAGCCTTTGAAAACAACACCTTTTACTTATGAAATACAGTTTATTTTAGTGATATGAAAAGAGAAAATAGGCATTGCAAGTCTGAAATATCTAAAAAAGCATCAAAATTGAGAACACAAAAAAACACAACGGGTCGCATCCATATAGAAATCTAAAAAGTTATTAAACCAATCCTAATACAGTTATACAGCCAAAGGGCAACCCAGTGCACATTGGTGTCCTCGCAAGGCAAGGGTCCGGGGAAGGATCCAACCACAAAGGTGTATTAGGATGCTCCAAGGCTCCCCTTCACCTATCCTAATACAGTCATCATCATTACCACATTGCCGCAAAGGCTCCCACCTTCGGTGGGGTAGGGGGGGTTAGGTGTACGCAGTCTTACCCCTGTACTAAAGCACACAGAGATTGTTTCCAGATGACACATAGTGAAAATCACGTTGAAAATTGCATGAACTGACTGTTGCTTCATAACAAAAAAGCGCAAACAGTTTAGTGAGCCATTTTGCTTTATTCCACCATATTTCCAAGCCAAAAAAATAGTGAGTCTTTGGCTCCATTGCAAATGATTGAAAATCCTATCCTAATACAGTAAACAATAATTTTTAATTTTATAAAGAATCTCTCTTTTCGGACAACGCTTTCCCATGTAAGGTCAACACAGGCTATCACTAAATCACTACAACCTGGTGGTTAAACAAATCTTCCAGCTAATTTTTCACTTCAAATACATAGACATAGATCTATGCTTCCTTAAAACCCTTTGACTTCCATAGCCAATTTGCTCTAAATTAGAAAATTTGCCCTAAATTAGCAAATTACCACAACATAACATAATTTTAACAACTATTAGTACAATGAGAATAGAATGCAATCACATACTCCCTCCATCTCTAAAATTTTACTCTAACTTTTCCATCTCTTTCCTTCTTTAGTACTTTTATCCCCTTTTCACTCTTTTGACATAGGGCAGTCTACAATTCTAAAAATTGGTGCACAGCTAATCAGATAGAACACATAAAGACAGATGGAGTACTTGATTATTATTTTATCTTTTTCAAGAAATCAACTACTTGCCTTAACAATGTGCTACTTTAAATTACCAACCGTGGTTTTAGACTTTTAGCAACACAAAACAATCGCCAGTATCAAAGAGGGATAAAAGGGTAGGATCCTTACAGCCCAGTAATGGCGGTTACTAATGTTCCAGCCACCCGTGTATTTCTTGAAATCATTGAGAGGGTCTTTCCTATATGTACTTTTAGCAGCTAAGATGAGTGATGATGAGTTCAATGGTTGCTCACCACTGGGACTTTCAGCAAGAACCCTTCTTTCCTCTCCCGAAACCACAATATCATCACTATGAATTTCACCTAACATTCCCAAAATAACAATACATGAAGGGAAAACAATACGGAGTATTAATTTTTTATTTTTGGACAAAAGGGTGCAGAATACCTGAATTGGGCTTCCCATCTTTAGCCTGAGATGATAAGGGATATAAAGAGGAGAAGAGGAACAAAGTAGCTAAAATGGGAAATATGAGTGACCCTTTACACAACATTGATCCGTCTGTGCTTCACAGCAGTGAGATTCCTTCCTGAGAAAGAGGAAATTTCTTCAAGAACAGAAGAGGAAAAACTCTTCAAGTAAGGAAATAGAATACAGCGTCCAGATGCGTTTCGGGAGCAGATATGAGGACAATGCGTGTCGCGAGCGGTTATAGAATATGATGCGATACTGTATGTATAATAATAATTGCTGGTAGGAGAGGGAGAGATTTCAAATTTGTACGTAGTATGTTATACTCCGTACAGCAAATGTATTTGCGTAAAAATCGTGTCTTTATTTAGAGAGATTGGGTGTGTGGGGATAGTGGAGAGAGGAGTTGAAATTGTTGAATTTTGAAATGTTAATAATAGATTTGGACATCGGGGAGCAGGTAACGTCCGGGAGAAGAAGTAGAGCTGACCGCCGCATGTGGCGGTGCTGATGTTCGATCATCTGTTCGTGTCCGAAATGCTGAGGGCCAAATTTAATTTTACAACTGATTTATTCGAAAAAAGTACTCCTTGGTTTTTCAACTTTTGAAGGAATAAGAGCATCTTCAATGCTACAATGTGCACGGTACACATGTGGCACGAGAGATAGCCACATAAATATTAGCAAATAATTTATCTCTCTCCTTATTTGAATGGTTTTATACAATTTTAGTAAGTTTTTCTCCACAATGTCAAGAAGACCGTCTAGATATTGACATTGTGGTTGACATTGGAGAGAAAAACTTACTAAAATTGTATAAAATCATTCAAATAAGGAGAGAGATAATTTATTTGCTAATATTTATATGGTTATTTCTCGTGCCACATGTGCACCGTGCACATTGTAGCATTGGAGATGCTCTAAGGATGTTTTTAGTTGGACGGTAATTCGTCCCGGACCAGACCAGACCAGACTTGAATAGTTATAAAAATACAAAGAAACTAGATCAGACCAGACCAGGCTTGAATAGTTATAAAAATACAAAGAAACCAGACCAGACCAGTTCAGACCAGACCATACCAGATCAGATCAGACCAGCAAATTACAGTCCAAGTAAAAACATCATAAATGAATAATCATCAAAAAAAAGTTTTCAAGGAACGAGAACATATTGATTGTTATGAAATGAAGGGAAAATTAACAAATATTAGAGGGGGATAATATTGAAAAATCAATGTTAAAGTTAAATCCTTTGTATTGAAAATTATTTCCATTATTAACAATTAAAATTTACATATTCATAAACTGCATTAAAAATTATTCAAAGTTACAAACACCGAATTAGAATATACTCCCTCTGTTCCCCAAAATAGTTTCCGGTTTCTTTTTTGGATCATCCCAAAAAATAGTTCTCATTTCTTTTTTTGGAAAGTTTTGTGCGGCTCACCGCTCACATTCATTTACCTTTTTCTTACTCAACCACAACGATACATTTCCATTTTATTCTCACTTTCTTAAACTCCGATCCAACTCAGTGAGAAGATATTGCCACCGCCAGCTGCGCAAAATAGTGAGGAATTTCTTCTTGCAAGCTATTGAGAAGAAATGTGGGGTGATCTAGCTTATGTAAGGTTGAATGCCTTTTGTGCACAGGCGTGGAAAGAGTGGTTATACTTATGTATACATAGAATTGTGAGGCAAGTTGTTTTATTAAAAAAAAAGGAAACATCTATTTACAGGTTATGGTGGGCTGAAGTCCAATGTAAATTAATTTTTTTTCAAATTTTTTGATGTAAATTTTTTCATTTTTGATATTCAACTCATCCCACTAATATTAAAGTCTAGTATAATTGCTTCTCATCTCAAATTGAAGCAAGAAACACGTAGTTTTTGGCTTTTGGTTGAAAATATTAAAATTATGCTACCAATTAAAATTATAATTGCTTGCTCACAATTTTATTAAATGAATGGTTTCTTTGTTTGGTTGCTTGTGTTGCCATTGTGCACGCTTATCAATATCTATATCTATATATATTTAAAGTAATTGGAAATGGCTTAATTAATTCATGCATATTTTGATTTTCAAAATTCATTAATTAATAAAAACTTAGACCAAACCTCATAGTAGCGCCAATTTTTTTTAGCTTCATGCCAGAACTTAGACCACGTTCCACAACTACATTTTCAAATGAACTGGTAGAAACTAAAATGGAGGTTTTCCTATATAGGTATAATACATAAATGTTTAACCTAAATATTGGTGCAATGATCCTATCCCAAAATAGGAGTTATATATATATATATAATATTTTTAAGATCACAATATCATTCTAAGGATGACAATATTTTGTTGGAGTATAGCAGCGATTGAACTTATTTCAAGTTTTGTACAAATATCGTCATCCTTAGAATGATATTGTGATCTTAGACATATACAAGCATACTAAGGTTGAGAATATGTTATATTAAAACATGGGTTTCAATTGACAACACTTTTTGATTTGAAGTATTTAATTTAACAGCAAAATATGAAGGGATTGAGCCTCAAACTTCTTTTAATATTTTCTATTAAATTTTTCACTCGTACATTAAAAATACTCTTTTGCCATATATTACCTTTTACTTTTTGAAACAATTTTATAAACAGAATTTACCGACTATCAGTTCCACGACTATTAAATTAGTGACGCTTTTGATTCCCAGAATTTTGATTTTTCCATTTCTTGTCAAAGTTAGAGACATTTTTAATCCTTAACTTCAAATTTTCCCACATTTAGTTTCTTGAGTATTACCAAATTAACATTGTTAGCCATTTAATTATATTTTAACACAATAAATGGATGTCTAAAATTGCCACTATTATAATAGTTTTCTTAATGTGTCACTATTATAATAATTGAAGGATTAAAAGTGCCATTTTTTAAAAATATGTTTCAAAATATGAGAACTTTCAAAGACGGTAACAAATATCGAAGGAGATAGGGAAATTTTCTGTGTGTTCATTGAATCATGCGGTACAGTATATATACAAGGGTATAGGCCGTGTAAAAGCTTAACCGATAAGAACAAAATAAAAGCTAGCTAATTGCTACGTACAAGAGTTCTAACCAGGGAAGAATTCTATCTTCCAAGTACACGTCCATAAAGTTTGTACAAAAAAATAAATACTAACATGGTGCAAAAAATATGTACGTAAAATATGTACGTAATATGCCTGGCGCCGATACCCCCCTCAAGATGGAGAGTGAGGATCCCGAAGACCCATCTTGGACAATAAATACTGAAATTGAGTCTGCCCAAGAGCTTTGGTGAAGATATCAGCAAGTTGTTCAGAAGAAGATCGGTGAGCAGTCACTATAGTCCCGGTTTGCACATGATGGCGAATAAAGTGACAATCAATCTCTATGTGTTTAGTACGTTCGTGAAATACCGGATTTGAAGCAATATGCATGGCTGCCCGATTATCACAATAGAGACGAATAGGGTCAGGATGAGGAACCGCAAGTGAGACTGATAAATTTTTTAGCCAAATGAGCTCACAGCCCAGGGATGCCATAGACCGGTATTCAGCTTCAGCTGATGAACGAGAGACTGTAACCTGTTTCTTTGTCCGCCAAGAAATAGGAGAATTGCCCAACAAGACGAAATAACCAGAGACAGATCGTCGCGTGAGAGGACAGCTGGCCCAATCCGAATCACAATAACCAGTCAAAAGAAGGGGAGAATCACGTCGGAGAAGAATCCCTTGACCCGGATGAGCCTTAAGGTATCTCAACACACGCACTACCGCTGCCCAATGTGCTTGCCGCGGAGATTGCATGAATTGAGATAAAACATGAACGGCATAACTGATATCCGGTCGGGTCAAAGTGAGATAAATAAGTTTCCCAACTAGCCGCCGATACTGATCAGGATCATCATACAGGGGCCCCTCATCGGTTTGAAGACCATGATTCTGGACAATAGGAAAAGAAACCGGCCTAGCACCCAACATGCCAGTTTCGGTAAGTATGTCCAGCACATACTTCCGCTGGCTAATGAAAATCCCCGTGGCATTGCGAGCTAGTTCAAGGCCCAGAAAATACTTCATAACCCCCAAATCCTTGACAGGAAAGCGGGATGAGAGATAGGATTTAAATTCAATAACAAATTCCAGATCATTGCCAGTTATGAGAAGATCATCAACATAAATTAAAACACATAAGATTTTTCCAGGCCGGCGACAAGTGAATAGGGAATTATCAGCCTGAGACTGACTAAATCCAAAGTCCTTGAGGGCACAAGTAAGCTTATAAAACCAGCAACGAGGAGCCTGACGGAGCCCATACAAAGACTTGAGCAGCTGACATACCTGACCTGGTGAAGAGGAAGAATAGCCAGGTGGAAAATGCATGTATACCTCTTCACCAAGATCCCCATGCAAGAAGGCATTATCCACGTCCATCTGGTGGAGCACCCAGTCTCGTGAGGCTGCAACGGCCAAAATGGCACGGACGGTAACCATTTTTGCTACAGGGGCAAAAGTGTCATGATAATCAATGCCATGAATCTGGCGATTTCCACAAACAACAAGGCGAGCCTTATACCTGTCAACCGAACCATCAGATTTATATTTAATTTTGTAAACCCACTTACAAAATATGGCCTGTTTGCCTGGCGGCAAGGATTGCACCGTCCATGTACCAGTGCGCTCCAAAGCATCAATTTCTGCCTGCATGGCAGCCCGCCACCGTGGATCCTGGACAACGTGCCGATATGACTCGGGTTCACGAGCTGCACTAATCGCCGCTAAAAAAGCACGATGATGAAGTGAAAAGCGATTATAGTTAACATAATTAGACAAGGAATAAGGAGTACCTGCGGGTGCTGTGGAAGCAGATGAGATAACGGGGGGTTTCGCTATTCGCACAGTATTAAGAGAGACTTCATAATCCGCATGCCATGAAGGTGGTTTTCTGATACGTCCATGCGGCTGTATTGGTGAAGCAGCAGTGGAAAGTGGCGGCTCAGTAGTGGGAGGTATGGGTGTTGCTGGAGTGGACATGATGGCTCAGTTTCTGGAGGTTTGTGGTTTAAAGGAGAGGATAATGGGGCAGAGATTTCATGTGAAGGAAAGGTTGGTGAAGTAGGTTCTGGTGGGGTAATTTGTGTATGTGGCGGTGTATGTACAGTAGGTGGGTGCATGGCTTCAGGAAAATTCTTCATTTCATCAACATGGATGTCAATGAGGTTAGGGTTTGTGGATTCGGATTCCAAAGCAGCATGTTCATGAAATGGAAAATTATTTTCAAAGAACCGTACATCTCTGGACACAAAATGGCGACGTCACTCCAAATCAAAGACCTTCCAGCCCTTTTGTGAGTGAGCATATCCAAGAAACACACATTTAACACCGCGGGGGGGAATTTATCACCAGAATTGGCCTTGACATGAGCATAACATAGTCATCCAAAAACACGTAGATCGGTATAACAAGGAGCTTTGCCAAATAAAAGTTCATAGGGTGTCTTGTTGTCTATTACCGGAGTAGGTAACCGATTGATTAAATACCCGGCAGCTAGAATACATTCTCCCCAAAAATCCAAAGGTAAATTTGCATGAAATCGTAGTGCCCGAGCCACTTCGAGAATATGTCTATGCTTGCGCTCTACCCGTCCATTTTGTTGTGGAGTATAAACACAAGAAGTTTGAAAATTTATTCCTTGATCCAAAAAATAATTTTTCAAGGCACAAAATTCTTTCCCATTGTCACTTCGGACCACACGTACATCCTTTTGAAATTGACGTTTGGTCATAGCAAAAAAATGTTTAAGAATAGTGCCCACCTCAGTTTTGTCACACATTAAATGCACTCATACCGCCCGAGAATAATCATCCACAATTGTCAAAAAATAACGGGCACCACATGAAGAAGGAAAACGATATGGACCCCACACGTCACAATGGATTAATTCAAAACAACTAGTAGCTCTGGCAGAATTTATTCCAAATACATCTCTAGTTTTCTTTGCCCGTAAACAGGCATCACAAGGTTTATTTTGAACATGAAGGTAAGGAATTACTTTATTGGTACTGGATATGGTTCGCACTACTGAAGGTGAAGGATGGCCGAGCCTTGCATGCCAAAGATCACTTTTATTGACGTCTCCTACAGCTAAAGCCAAAGTTTCTTCAATACTGTGAAAATAGTATACGCCCCCACGTCGTCTACCCACTCCAATCAGCATCCTCGTAGGCGGGTCCTGTATTACACAAGTCTCATTAGTAAACAAAATAATGCATTTCAAGTCATCGATTAAACGTGCAATTGAGATGAGTTTGCACGTAAGGCCCGGAACGAATAGAACATTATGTAAAATAATTTTATGAGTCAAGACAATTTGTCCCCGCAAGGTAGCATACACCACGTCTCCATTCGGTAAGGTCACCGGAGTCGGCTGAATTGACTCCTTGGACTGAAATAGCTGTGCATCTCCGGCCATGTGATATGAGGCTCCCGAGTCTAACAACCAATCGGACTGTTTTTCCATACCTGTTAATTTCTCTGGAGCAGAGGAAGCTGAAGCAGCCTTACAATTTTGCATGAGATGCAAAAAATCACGCCACTGTTCACCAGTGAACGACGGTGCTAAACGAGCCGTAGGTGCTTCAGGTCGTGCACCAAAATTGCTCACTGCATGCTCCGAATGATCTTCAGTGTGTACCGCATTAACTACGGCTTTTCCTCGTCCACGTCCAGTCCCTGGGCCGCCACGTCCGCCACGACCCTTCCCCGGATTGTCGTACCACCAATCCGGATAGTTTCCAGTCCGTTTAAAGCACTGCTCAAATGTGTGCCCAGTCTTCTTACAGAAGGTGCACACGACCTTTGGTTCTACGTGGTTCGAAAGGGAAGAACCGTTAGCCGCAAAAGCAATGACTTCCGGCCTTTCCTCTCTGCCCCGTATCATATTCCGATGCCGCTCCTCCTGCGTCACCATTTGATACAATCGGGTCATTGCTGGGAGTTCCTCTTGGCTTAGAATATTGGAACGCAATGTCCCATAATTTTCAGAATCCAAGCCCATAAGAAACTCGTGGCCCTTTTCCGCTTCAATTTGTTTCATATATTGTTTTGCCAGATCACACTTGCATCCCTTGCATATGCACTTGGCCACCACACGATACCCATCATATTCATCCCACAAGGTTTTTAGCTTCCCAAAATAGGCCGAGATGGTCTCATCATTCTGCCTACAGCCACGCAACATTTCCTTTAGCTCATGGATCCGCATCGGATCCCCAACCGAGAAACGCTCCCTCAAGTCTTCCCATAGGTCGTAAACATCATCCATATAGGTGATATTCGTTCGTAGAGATGGATCTATGGTTGTCATGACCCATCCAACCAGCATCGAATTGACGCTGACCCAATCTTCAATGTCGTCAACATGGTCGGTCGGTCGGGTGATGCTACCATCCACAAAATCAAATTTCCGTTTAGCACGAAAAGCGTTTTGCATGGCAGTCGCCCATTGTCGGTAGTTCCCTTCTCCTTTCAACGTGAAGCCACAGATATTCTGCCCAGGAGAATCTGAGCTTGACAAGTAGTAAGGAGATGTGGGATCGGTGATTTTCCGTCGTCGGAGTTCCTCACGATCGGTAAATTTACCGTCGCCGGAAAAGGTCGAGTTGCTATCAACGGTCATTGTCGTGAGTCGGATATGTTTTTTTTTTCTACCGCTCTGATACCATAACAAATATCGAAGGAGATAGGGAAATTTTCTGTGTGTTCATTGAATCATGCGGTACAGTATATATACAAGGGTATAGGCCGTGTAAAAGCTTAACCGATAAGAACAAAATAAAAGCTAGCTAATTGCTACGTACAAGAGTTCTAACCAGGGAAGAATTCTATCTTCCAAGTACACGTCCATAAAGTTTGTACAAAAAAATAAATACTAACATGGTGCAAAAAATATGTACGTAAAATATGTACGTAATATGCCTGGCGCCGATAGACGGGTACAAAAAAATGTCTCTAAAACAACAGTTGACGACTACAAGTGACTAAAAGTGACTAAAAGTATGTGTCACTAACATTATAATCGAAGGACTAAAAGTGACAAAAACTCTTTATAAACATTATTGACATTGACATTTACCCCACTGATTTTGGTGGTTTGTCTTCCGAGATAAAAAAAAATATTGACATTTGATTTCAAACATTTTTTAAATACTCTAAATATATTTAAAAAAAATCCAAGCCAACAGAAATATTACAATATTCTATTTGCAAGTCATGATTTCTTAATCGTGTTAATGTCGGTCAACCCGGCACCACCTTCGAGACATGAGTAATTGAGTACGCTTATTTGCAAAATTTATTCAAACGTAGCAGTTACACATGTTTGTACTTTTGTTCCCATGCTAACCTTTTTCCAGCTATTGTATCATAAATACATAATCATATCATAATTACTGTCAAAAAAAAAACTATGTATCATAATCCATTATTCCCTTCCTATTTAATGTTCCCACTTTCCTTTTCTAGATGTCCCTTAAAACAATACAAAACCGTGTCGAACATTGTCATTTTCAATGTGTGCAATTTGAAGTGAGTATTTCCCACTGTAATACACTTATTAACTTCCTCGGCCCCCAATAAATTTTAATTTTAAAGTATTATTATAATAGGAGAGCAAAAGTTGAAATCTGAGTTAGAGGGGTCAAAAGGTGTCAAACTACATTATTGTTTATTAATTACTCTTTTACTTAAAAAAGGGTAATGATATATTTTTACCGTTTTATAATCCTTCTATGCTCCTATCATTATCAAAGTTTTAATGATTTGGTCTACCGTTCTTTACAGAACAAAATTAATCCATCCCAAAAATAATAACTATAATAGTATTAGTACACTTTTAAAACTGCACTAAAAGTTCCATTAATCCGTAAAAAAGTATGATGGAATTTATAATTAAAATCATATGTTAATATAAAAATCAGTGAAATATCATTCTAACATTCCATGCTCCTTAGCATTCTCCTAACATACATATCATATCCTTTATTTTACCATTACTGGTAAAGGAATGTTAACATTTTCATGCTATCAGTGTTTGGTAAAACCTTGCTTGAAATAAGCATAAATAAGCGCTCACCAACTGACCATATAATCTTATCCACAAATGTAAACATAAAGAATCTAAACCTTTACCTGCATATCATCCTAATTGTATTTTCCACTTTCTTATTTTACAACAAATGACGATAGCTCCGGCCCCGCATAACTCTTTGCCATTGATACTGCAATGACTTCTTGAAGCCCATTTCCATACGCTCCTGAACAAGCCTGCAATAGATCCGAAAGGGTTGTTGGTAACACAGAGTGACAAACTCTGGAAGAGCTTCAGAAATCATTATTGAAGACATGCACACACAAAAAGGGCACTTATCTCCTACCATCTGACCAAGCACCTCTGTATACCCCTAGATATGGGACGAACAATGGATGGATCCCGTTGCATGTAAAGCAAGCCAACCTAAGGATACACACATCAGCTTCAAAAGTTCAAAACTGGGTGCAAGAAATCAAATTTTTGGTTTAATTAATCCTCTTGAACTTTGGCTGTAACATTTAGAAGATTGCATAAACACCACAGTATGATACTTGGCAGCGTCCATACACAACTCCCATCCCCGCAAAAAAAAAATGAATGCCCCACATGGGTACTCCACTAAAAGGCAGTGTGCGAGAAATCAGATTTTTTTTGTTTAATTAATCCTCTTAAATTTGGTTGTAATGTTTAAAAGATTGCATAATCACCACATTATGATACTTGGCAGCATCCATACACAACCCTTACCCCCAAAAAAAAATGACCTTCATGGGTACTCTACTAAAAGGCAGTTAAGCCACAAATTTAAAACGAGACATACAGGGAATACCTCTATTAATGCAACAGCACATGGATCATCGAAAATTTCAAGACTGCAATCTTGCAGGTAGTTTAACTGCAATAAACACAGTTCCAATCATTCACTAAAATTATGATCTGAAGGGTGTGAACAACAGTGCTCCAAGTTTAATGCGATGTCTATTATACAAATAATAAGGCATAGTAAGCCATATTGAACAGAGCAAATAATGTAATTAATTTACCATGTTTTACTATGATTCTTAAAAAAATACTTTTATAATCTAAAAACGTGCAAATTTTTAGGGGAAACTGTCAGTTTGGTCCTCGTACTATCACAAAAAAGTCAATTAGGTCCTCATATTTTGAAAAAAAAATCAATCAAATCCCCAAACTTTGAAAAAATATTCAATTTGGTCAATTAGCAAGTTACCATGGATTGTGGTTAAGTTGCATGGATTTCCTAAATCAATAATCAGTGATAGAGACAACATCTTCCTCAGTTCTTTTTGGTCAGAGCTATTCAAACTAGCAGGAACACAGCTCAAATATAGCACTGCATACCATCCACAGACTGATGGGTAGACTGAAGTGGTAAATAGGTGCTTGGAGACATACTAAAGGTGTTTAACTGGGAAGAAACCAAAACAGTGGGTTAAATGGCTACCTTGGGCAAAGTTCTGGTATAATACTAACTACCACATCTCTCTCAACCAAACACCTTTTCAGGCATTATATGGGCAGGAACCTCCAGCAATTATAAGGGGAGATGTCACTCTTACAGCCATAGAAGAAGTTTCTAGACTCACTGCTGAGAGAAACAGGATGCTGGAAGAACTGAAAGGGAATTTGTCTAGGGAAATTTCCTAGGATATGAATAAAACTCAATGAGTTTCCTGATCTATGACCTAACTAGTTTTTTGACTTTTGTATGACTAAAAATCTAAAAAAAAAAGAAATCTTGTTTTTTTAAAGGATGAATGACGAAAAATACCCTTATTTAAAATATGTGCATTTTGCACTAATTTCATCCAATTAAAATTACTGCACTTTATATTACCGTTAATGCACGACTTTACTGCACATCCGGTAATAATCATTGCACTTCCGTCAAAAATATAAAGGGTTGTGCGGCTGGGCACAGGAGACGGTGGATCTGTGGAGGTGGAAGACTGGATGCTAGGGTTGGAGAAAAGAGTAGAAGCTTAGGGTTTTATAGATATAATATAAAGGGTGTATTTTCCACCAAAATTATTTATTTATTTATTTATTACGAATTTTAATTAATATTATCAATTTTAATATTATTTTGGTAAAAAAAACTAGTTAGATCATAAATTGAGAAAGTGAATAAGTTTTAGTCATACCTAGGGTAATTATCTCATTTGGCTACTGCTCAAAACCAAATGAGACAACAAGCCAATAAGCATAGAAGAGAAATAACACTGGAGGTAGGAGAGATGTTTCTGAAGATACAATCCTATAAATTGCAGAGTCTGGCCAAGAGAATTAATCAGAAACTGAGCCCCAGATACTATGGTCCTTTTGAGATCATAGAGAAGCTCAGTCCTGTGGCATTCAAGTTAAAGCTACCTGAGGGGAGTACTATACATCCAGTGTTTCACATCTCTTTGCTCAAGAATGGTTTATCCCCAAATACCACATGTCAGAATCTGCCTACATGCCTAAATGAAGAATGGGAGCTTCAAGTGGTACCAGAAAAGGTGATAGACTCAAGAATAAATGCTGCAGGGAAAACAGAAATATTAATACAATGGAGGGATTTACCAGAATTTGAGAATTCATGCGAAGAAGCCTATTTGATTCAGAAACAGTTTCCAGATTTCCACCTTAAAGACAAGGTGGATTTTCAGGGGGGGTATTGATAGGCAGGTGGAGGAAAAGCCTAAAGATAAGGAAACTATTAAGTACTTTGAGAAAGTTATACGAATATTCATGAGTGACAAACTTATTTCTAATTTAAAGCATTTGAAACATGGAAGAGTAGTCTGGAAATGCATGCAAAGTTACCAATTATAAAGTCATAGAGTTAAAATATATTTGCACACTACAACTTTAAAAAAAAGACTGAGACTATGAATGTGATACCCCAAATTCTGCATTGACAAGCGACTGAACAAAGTCTAATAGTTGAATCTTAGCCCACTCACGACACGAGGCTTGGTCATTGGCATGTGGAAGATTTCTCCAAGGAGCTCCAAAACACAATTTGTCTTTTGGAATTCGTCCACTATGTACATCGTTTGCAAACTTCTGCACCCTTGATAATGCCTTATCCATTGCAGGATTAACCACAGTCATCTACAAAATGGACAAACGCAGAACGTGGCATCAAGAGCAGTTATAGTGATGTATAGGAGAAAGATGCAAATTGCTGGCTGTAACTTGGGAAGGTTACAGGAGATTAACCTTGAGCTCCGAAGAGGGGGGGTCACCAGACTTTTGTAAGAGCCAATTTAGTAATAACTAGGCTGAATGTGCTGAACTTTTTTAAAGAAAATGTTTGGTAGCATGCATTTCAGCCACACAAGCAAGTCAAAAACTACTTATTCTGATCAATGAGCATGGTATGACACTTTTGGCTACCAAACGAAGCTAAGTTCCTCCTGCCCTACACTAGAGCTACCCCTCAGGTAATTAAGCTATTAAACTCAATCATAATGAGCAGTGCATTCTATATCAATTTGCCGGGCAATAAAAATCTCTTTGATGAAGCAGCAGTCAGTCCATGCAATTTTGGACGCGCTTTTCACTATGGGTCATCCGAAAACAGTCTCTCTGTGCTTTTAGTACAGGGGTAAGACTGCGTACATCCGACCCCCCCTTACCCCACCGTAGGTGGGAGCCTTGGCAGCACCGGGGTAAATGAAAATGAAATGAAATGATGACACACACAGACAAACTAAATGTATAGCTCAAAGGAGGTTTGCAGTTTAAAAACAGACTACAGAGTAATCAATAATATTGTCTCTGTTTGAGGGACATACTTGTAGATATGCCAGGTATGCATCGACAATGTCCTCAAATGTATTCTTGGCATCCCTACAGTTCCAAGTGTGAGATACTGATGAATATATAAAGATGACTTAACGTAAAAACTGTTCGAGTATACAATAATACATACAATACTCAATCAACAAATAATGCAAATACACAATGAAAGGATAACATTAGGATGACAACTTCCACATGATGGGAGGTGAAAATCATTATTCCCTCTAGGCCTCTAAATATCTCGTTAATTCTGTCATATTTTCCCATATGGACATCACAATACTACTCGCAATCATAGCCATATCATCACTATTGTAGTGATGCAGAAATACAAGGTTCTCCGTAATGTCGCAACAAAAACCTATAGTTTGGGTTACATTAGTTTACCTTTAGTTTACCTTTGGTTATAACTGATGAGATTATATGTGAATTTACAGAATGTGAGAAACTGAGAACACAGAACTTAATATACGTTTGGACTATACATAAGAAACTAAAGGTAAATCATATTACACATAGTGTTACCTCGTCTGAATAAGTGGGGGGATATGATATTAGTATATTATCATGGTAATTGTTAATGCAGACTTTTTGCCAATGGAGGGCTTATTCACCTAGGATTGAGATTTTACAAACGTAAAAATCTTATATTTGGCTGACTCAGAGTCTAAGACAATCCATTAGCTCCTACCTCCTTTACCTTAGTTGGCTATCTCAACTACTCATAACATCATTGGCTTTCTTTATCCCAGCTTTGTATTTTAGAGCATCTTGTACAGTTGTACATCTTTCTATCATTAGAAATATAAACACACTTCAACTGATCGTATTCTGTATTGAAGTGTACAGAGATATATTCACCACTCATGAGTTTAATGGAAGTAAGACTCAGAATCTTAGCATTGTCATCATCACTTTAGTTCCGACTAATTGGGGTGGGTGACATGAAATATCTAAAGTCAATTTATTTTATAAACAAGTAATCAACCCTTTTGGATTTGGGAATATGATAAAATGTAGGAAAATGGCTCATTAAACTATGCACTTCTTTGTTATGAAGTAGCGGTCACTCCATGCAAATTTCGACGCGATTTTCACTATGGGTCATCCGGAAACAGTCTCTTTGTGCTTTAGTACAGGGTTAAGACTGCGTACATCCGACCCTCACTTACCCCACGTAGGTCGGAGCCTTTGCGACATTGGGGTAATGATGATGATGACAACAAGTAAACAACCCTTTTACTCGTGCAAAAAGTAGAGCAAAGATTTGCACTGGATGCCCTTCATATCAAAACCTGGGGAATGGTTGGTTAGGGAATGAAGGCAGAAAACGGGAATAGCGGGAGCACCATTCCCATCAATGGTGCTTAGTATACTATAATGAAGCCCAATCAGCCCACAATTTCTCAATCATTCCCAATGTCTCAAATAATCATTAGCCCCCCCCCCCCCACCACCACCACCACCACCACCACTTATTCAGACGAGGTAACACTATTAATTCTCAGCCCACAATTAATTATTTAATAATTCATATTCTGATTGCTAGTACTATTACCATATTCTCATCAACTGCCTCACCCATTAACTACCCTGAGAGCCAAACTTTCAAAGATGAAAATTATATAACTACTCCCTCCGTTCCTTAAAACTTTGCCAAGTTTGACCGGCACGGGGATTAATAAAGTAAAAAATGTGTGGTAGAGGTTTGTGCAGAAGAGAGAGAATTGATTGTATCCACAAATTCTTTACTTAAAATGGAAAGTGGCAAAGTTAGTGGGACAATTAAAAAAGGAAAGTTGGCAAAGTTTTAAGGGATGGAGGGAATATATTTCATTTATCCTGTGTGTCCCTTCCACTTCATAAATAGTATATCTTGGATAGCTAATGCAGTGATATCTGATGAAAATGTCCCACAACCAAGGTGATAAGCCTGATCAAACACTAGTGTGGATTGTTTATGTCACATGAAATGATTGAAATCCACCATACCCTCTTTGTATTATTCACCCCTCACTCGGACATAAAATCCAAAAATTGTCACTATATACATCCAAATGTGCAACAAATGTTCATCTAATCAGAGAAAAAGTGTGCATGGACAAGAGCAGCCAGTAGCACTGAGACTGAAGGCATAAAATCAACATGCGTGAAGGAATATACGTCAAGAGTAAGCAGGTTGAATAAACACACAGTATCATGTTACAACGATGCAGCACATAATGTTACATGCACTGATGCACTCATACTTACTTTTGGCAATAGCTACTTAATTTCAGTGCATAAAGCTCAAAGAGATGCCTCGGGTTTGATCCTAAAACTTCAACAATCACATCCAACTGTAGATTCAACGAAGTGTTAAAATATAATCTCCCATCAGAATAGGACATGTGCACATTTATGGATACAAAGGGATGCATATTTGTGCAAGGGTTAGAGGTCATACCTCAGTCTTGCTAAAAAACTGACCAGTCAAATGCATTTTAGCTTCTGCAGGAGTCCATCCAAATGTCTACATTATTTACCACTATTATGTCATCTTACCATGAACAAGATGCCAAAATGTGACATGAACAACCAATACATGCATACAAAAATCGTCAAGATGTATCTTGAGCACATATGCACTCACCAACAAGCTGATGCTGTGATGCACCTCACAAACAAAGTGAGTTCACACTAATTCTCTAGAAACAATTAAACAACACTCTTATATTCTAACCTACTTTTAAAATGGCAATTATATCAAAGTTTATACTTTATACGTGTTAGAGAGACTAGTGGAGCGTTAAATAGGTTGTTGGATGGATTATCTTTTAATTCAAAATTAAACTTATGGGTCTGGGCTACACACTCTTACTTTCCAAGTATATAATATGCCTTTAAGTATTGGCTATATACAGCAATTGCAGTTAATACGCTTGAATGCTTCATAAATAAAATGATTTATTTTTCATAAAAGAAATGTCCAGAGAAGTATCTTGGATCGTATTTGAAAAAAATAAAAAATAAAAAATTAACATATGCAAACCATGAACACCTCACATGTCTGTCCCAGTTTGCATGTACATATTTGCTTCATAGATAAAATGATTTATTTTTCATAAAAAAATGTCCAGAGAAGTATCTGATGGCACTTTGCTTGCCATTTTGTGTCAATAATATAAAAAAATCCAATTAAATGACCTGCTAGTTTTAATTCCTATAAGGTGCTGTTCCAGATGTATTTTTTATAAATAAATGTTGATGGAATGTTAGTGGGCTGAGAATCTTGTAAATATGAACTTACGCAGTTCAGGAGTGAGAGAATCTAATAGAATGCATAGGACTAGTAGTAGTATAATTACTGAAGTCCTTTATAAGATTCACAGTATTGCATTTAGAAAAAAAAGGATGTTTCTCGTGATTCCTACAAAGAAAGGGAAACCATACGAAGAAACAATAGAACAAGTCATTTTAGTTCATAAATGAGGGAGGAGAGGGGTATTAGTTCTGCTCTATCAGCAATCACTTCGCATCCCTAGTAATTGTAACATAATATGACAAGAAAGTGAGTCTGAAATCCAAAATGCGCATTCACCTACATACATAATTCATAAATGCAATTTAGGCATAATATTTCTTCGGGGGTGCAAGAAGGATATTAGGGATGAAAATTACCTCACGGGAGATGAAAATGTCTGGAAATCCAAAATCAATGTAAGCACGATATGAGTAATAGCTGCAAAAAGTTTATAGGGAGCAACCAGAACTAAATCTTATATCATAAAACACAAAATGAAAGCATCAGTGGATTAACAAGCTTAAAATATTTTTATAAAATGAGTAAAAAGAAATTACGGATGGTGAATTAAATGGAGATGTATCCCATAGAATCAGAGCTGGGTGGATGAAATGGAAGAGTGCATCAGGATTTCTATAGATCGAGGTATGCCGACTAGACTGAAAGGTAAATTTTATCGAACATCATTAGAGCAATTAGGCCTGCATTAATGTATGGCGTAGAATGTTAGGTGGTGAAACAATGTCACATTCAAAAAATGAGTGTGGCAGAGATGCGTATGCTACGTTGGATGTGTGGACATATCACAAAAGACCGTTTGAGGAATGAGATAATCACACAAAAGATGGGAGTAGCACCTATAGAAGATAAGATGCAGGAGTCTCGTTTGCGGTGGTTTAGGCATGTGCGTAGAAGGCCAAGTGATGCACCTGTTAGACGACTTGAGGGGTGGGGAGAAGAGATAGAGAGGAGAATGGGGAAAGACCAAACAGACTTGGATTAGAGGAATCAAAACTGATATGCGTCTTCTTGGGTTGGATGAGAGTATGCCTTTGGAGAGAGCAAAGTGGAGGGCGCACATTCGTGTGGACGATTGATCTCTTTTCTATCTTTCCTCTCTCTTTTTCTTTTATCATTTATCTTCTTTATCTTTTTATGTTCTTATGTTATTTTTATGTTGTAGCTTTTTATGCTCTTTTATCTTTTATCTTTCTTATATTCTTATCTTATTGTTATCTTATATTTATTTATCTGTATCTTATCTGTTTTACCTTACTTTTTTCTTCTTCTTCTTGTTTGTCTTCTCTTTTTGGCATCGATATCATGGATCGATTCATGTTAGCCGACCCCAAAATCTTTTGTGATTAAGGCTTGGATGTTGTTGTTGTTGTAGTAAAAAGAAATTAGGTTCGAAAAGGTACGAAGTGTGTACTTGCCCATTCAATACAATATTTGTACCAATCACACAGCACTATGATGCATTTGATCCTTGTTTGTTTAGGGAAAAGTGTGAAAATAACCCTCGAGCTAGACTCAATAGTGCAACTGAACCCCCCAAATTCGATACAAAGCAAATGAACTCTTAAATTCAACGGGTAAGCTGTAATCTTCAACAGATGCAAACCACAATCTCTCGCAACCACCAACCCAATTTCAATTCTAATTCCAATACCAATATATCTGGATACAAGTACCATTAGCACTCCAGGAATGAACCGGACCAGAAAATGTGTGATGGAAGACGCTTATCTGATTTGTTCTTCATCAATGTCAAATGCATCTTCAACAGATGCGAACCTTCTGTTCTATGTGAACATTCCATTCTATGTGGATTTCTATTCGTGAAGATGGAGCCTAACGAAGTCTAATGACGATGTTGGCTCATTAGATCATGAGACCTCCTCCCATATGTGATCTGATGGGGGTACATATAAAAAACCTCTGCTAGGCAACTCATCAGGGGTGATTGTGAAGCCCCGTGATTGGTTACAGATCTTGGCATTTTTTGGATATGAAGAAAATCATATTATTAATAACATTCCATATTAGTCTGCAATATTTATCGTTATTACTATTATTATTATTATTATTATTATTTTGTTATTAATTTATTATTATAGCTATTGTTATTATGGATGCCACATGAGCTTTAAATGCCTACATGGCTACCTATTTTTGCCAAATAAACACTAAGTAATCAGCAAAACTAATTACCCAAAGGTAACCTTTAAAAAGTGAGAATTGGACCAGATCATTGATATAAGGGTTCAAACTGAAGTGTTTTTATTCAGGGGTCCAATAGCATTATTGCAACTAGTTTAGAGTCTTATTTGGCACTTGCCCCTTTTGTTTTTCTTTCTTTCTTTTTGGGGTAGGAGGAGGTTGCACATAAAACTGACCTTTTTGGGCTTTTAAAATCAATAAATGAAAGTGATTAGTCTTGGACTTCGAAGATTTACACATTTCTGGATATTTTGCACACCGAACAAGTGTGTTCGGTTTTAGCCCTGGATTGGTGCTAAATGGCAGAAATGCTTAACTTATCCGTTATCACTTGAATAATGCATAAGGCCATAAGGGGTTCAAGTAATCCATCAAATGAATTAGCATGGCATTACCTATCTGAAGTTACAAAAATAACTGGGAGACATCGCTCGTTCGCGCCCAATGCTATTATTCTCCATATCAAACTATCATGATACATGGATGCACAGACTGAAGAATCATCTATTAGTACAGCATTCTTTAAAACCTCTATGTTGTTTATAACCAACTTCGGCTACACAATTAAAAAATGAAAGAAAAAATAAAGAACAGCATGGGAATTGGGAAGAAGTACAATAAAAACATCTTTAAATTGAAACGGTATAAATAATTACAATCCTCTTACCTGAAAATAGTCAACTTCGGCTGCTGAAGACAAGAGTTCGATCAATAAAGAGGGCCAGTCTGTAGCAGAATTTGCCAAAGACCTTGAAAACCCACCAGATTGATTCAAATGTTTGACTGCATTACTTCTCCACTTCTGCTGCAGCCTCATAACAGCCTTTGCCAGCTTCAAGGCTGCCAAGGATTCTCTGTTATACGACCCTTCCTCCTCTCCGTCCAATCCACTGATCTCATCGGCATTTAATCGAGCAGATGCAGCTAATACTGCCCTTTCCCACAAATTAAGTGCTGATTGGACCCTAGTGGCGGACACATAAGTTCTGGGGCTATTTGACAGATCATCAGCACTCAAGATCTGCTTAAGAGCCGCAGTGAGTCCGTGCCACTTGTTAAGGGTTGTGAATATCAGGTGAGAGCTAATCGTGCATAGCTTGATGCCCTTCCACGCCAACGATTCAAGGCAGCTCTCTAGTTGGGCCTGGAGAATGGGTAGCGACGGGGGAGAGCAGTTGGACCAAGAATCCCAAGGGAAAGAATGGCCATGTGCCGGATGGTGATCTGTTATTGGTTTCGCAAAGTCTACATAGCCTGTGACATGAGGGCCGCTGTTCCATTGGCTGAAAAGACCTGAAAACAAAAGGAAGGTCAGACATGATACGAATTGAAGTATTAAGGAGGTTTCTAAAGGTTATCACGTTCAAGGATGAGAGTGGTTTTGCCGACTCCACGAGGCCCATGGAGAATGAGAGGCTGTGGGACGCGGTGTTGCCGGGCATGGTTGCTGAGGACGGCCTCCATGAGAGGTCGAGGGATAATTTTCCATGATGTTTTTACCATCTTTGCTTCTGGTCACTGCTACGAAGACCAACAGTTCCTTCTTACAGGGAATGCGGGAATAGCCTGGAGGAGGACATAAGTTTTTTGACGAAATGTTTCACCCTCTGCTATCCCCCCACGCTTATGCAGGGAGGGTCGCACGGATTTCTTGGGATTTCGGCAATTGAGGGTCTGATTTTCCAGGCGGCGACCGAGGACAGCGACGAACTATGGTGGCGGTGCGACTATAGGAGGAAGGAGCGATCGAGCAAGGGACTGAGGGAGGGCTGAGTGGTAGTTTTCTCCCCTTCATTGGCTCGACAAAGGTTTCATATCAATTAGAATTAGTTGTCTAACATTAGAAGAATCTACCTGAACTAACTTAAAGTGTTCAATTAGCCTTTATTTAGGATGTTTTGTCCGGACGTCGCAAATTGGAGAGGTTCCCGATGGATTTTTTGATAACTTTTTTTGAGCGTCTTCTTCATTAAGTCTAGTTTACGCATATCAAATTTCAGCTAAAAAATAAATCGAGAAGGCAGTCAAATGATTTTCCAAAATGTACTGCGCTGTTTAACTGCACAGTTATCTTCAAAAAATCATTTGACTGCCTTCCCGGTTGAATTTTTAGCTGAAATTTGATATGGGTAAACTAGACTTAATGAAGAAGATGCTCAAAAACGTTTGTCAAAAAATTCCACCGGGAATCGCACAAATTGGCGACAGCCTATCAGAACATCCTATATAAGGGGCTAATTGAACACTTTAAGTTAGTTCATGTACCTATTTGACCCTTTAGCCTTCAAATTGATTGTAGTCTACTTTAGAATTAGTTCGCTAACATTCAAATTGATTCAATCGTATCAATTGCATCATATTTATGAAGTTTTGGTTTACATGACTAGATCGAGTGATTCTGGTAATGTTGATTTTTTTTAAATGAAATTCTATATTTTAGTTTTGATTGAGTTTTTGTTTTGGTCTCTGCTACAACAGATTATCATGTCGCTGACACCCTCCTCCCCGACGGAGAGAAGAATGAGAGGCGACATCAAACTCATTTAATGCAGTAGCCATGAAATTGCAATGATTCCAAATTAGCAGTTTGTTTGAGGAAATTTGGTGGAAGGTTATAATGACAAGGCAATTTGTACTGTCGTTGTCATTTCCTGAAAAGCAGAGTAGACGTTGCTGGTTGTGGATCAAGACGCCTCCGTCGTGCGGGGGAGCGGCCATAACAGGAGGTTGAGTTTCGGGGAGGTGGCTTGTGAAACGGTGGCAGATTGATCGACGGTTGGGCATACTAATATTTGAAGATGAGGAGGGTGGTTGGACGGTTGGGCACCAGCAAGGTGTCAAAGAGGATGTTGTCGGTGGAATGGTGATGAATTCCCGGACGATTGGCTGTTGGTAGTATTCTGAAGTGGGAGGAAGGTCTCTTCCGCCGGCAAGGGAGGAAGTCCCTCAAGAATTTGAGAGTCAATTTTGATTCATTTATTGTTTCAAATAGTTTAGGCTTCATCTAGTTTTTATAAATCTGAATTTCAATTGAACTAATACGGATGAAGGAGTAGAGTAGACTGTGTATGTTGTATGGATGAATGGATTTTAAATGGAAGGACAATTTAGGTATTTAAAAAATATGGTGGTTGTGAGTATTTAAATGTGGTTATATATAGAATTCCCTTGATAATAAGAGCATTTTTTGTTACAATATATCATGTCTCACGCGTCTAATTGTTAATGGTTGATCAATTAATAGCACAAAATATTAGTGCTCCGACTGTAACACCACGCTTAATTTTAAGCAACGGCATACCCGTTCAGAACTCTCATCATCAAAATGTCCACATCTTGCCCTCTTTCACCATCCAAACTAAGCTGCCGACCGCAAATGACGGTTGATAATGCCCACCGTCACTAATGAAAATAATCGAAGCCCCCACCATGCTTTGTTTGCTCTTTCATTCAGAAACCACCACTCAGTGTAATAAATTTTCCTTTTTGTTAATATTTTAGTTATGGCTTAGAGGTCGGTTAGAGTGGTCACCATTGAAGAAATTGACACTTCAAAGTTTCTACTTCAGTTTTACCATGAAGGGACATCAGTCGTGTTGTAGATGAAGGGGGCGTGATCTTTTGAACAAAACTTAGTGGTCATAAGGAGGTTAGAGCGAACTGATAGACCACTTGAGGTGTGCTTAGAGTATGCAGACTTTAGGGTTCAAGTTCATAATCTTCCTTTAAGCTACATGACGGCTAAAGTAACTCGGGGAATTGGAAATAACATAGGGTCTTTTGTCCAAATTGACGAACGCACTCTGGGAGGGAAATGGAGGTCTATTGTGCGTATGAGAGTGACAGTTAATATAAATAATGCTTTCACTAGGCAACTGAGGGTTCGACAAGAAGAGGACAACTCGATTTGGGCATATTTTTGGTATGAGAGGCTTCCAAGTTGTTGTTTCTATTGTGGGATTCTGGGACATGTAGACCTTCTATACTAATTCACCTTTCTAATTCCCACCCTAGGGGTTCCCCCAACCCACCATAGCACCCTCCCTATACTAAATTTGGCTTGGGTTGGAGCTCATTTGGGGGTGGAAACTTCAAATTTGGGGGTTTCACTCCTTCCATTGCGATCAGCCTAAGGTTGGAAAATTGGCATATTACGTGTTACGGAGGTCGGCTCACCCGGTCGGCTCCATCTCTCTCAAATATTTTTATGATTTGGTCTGATTTGGTAGATATCTAGTTTATATGTGATTTACAATCATTAATGTCTGGTCTAACCCGGTTTGATCTGATATGATTTGAGATTGAAATAAGTTCAAGTAAAAGCATCATCACTCTCCAATTTTGTTTTTCATTTACGGTAAGATTGTCTTGTTCAAAATATAATTATCTACTAATTTATGGTAATAATTGATTATTTCACTAATTAGTCCCCAGATTATCGTGCAACACCTTTGATACTCGACTTTTATTTTTTCTATTTTTTAATCTTTTAACTATCATGCGAGAGACACTTTTCATTCTCAACTTAAAAATTTCCCACATTTATTCCACTAACTATTCGCAAATTGACTTTTTTAGTCACTCCGTTATCACTTTGAAATAATAAGTAGATGACTAAAAATGTCACTATAATAATAGTTGAAGAATCAAGAGGACTTCACTTTTATGAAAGACGTGTATTAAAAGAGACTTTTATTACAATATTTGATGAACTAACAGTCGAAATATTCAAAATTGAGTACCAAAAATGTCACTAGCCTAATAATCAGAGCACTGCAAGTGTCAAACACTTATAACTAATTGTTTCACTGATTAGTTCTCAGACTATCGTGTCAGTGACACCATTGATATTCGACTTTTAATTTTTCTATTTTTAGTTCTTTGATTATTGTGCGCTAGGCACATTTAGTGCTCAACTTCAAAATTTTCCATATTTTTTGCACCTAGTATTGTCAAATTGACATTTTTAGTCTTTCAATTATGATTTTAGAATAATAAATGGAAGGCTAAAATGTCACTATAATAATAGTTGAAAGACAAAAAATGTCACTTTTATGATAGTCGATGGATTAAATATGTTAAATTTCAAACACATGTGCCAAAAGAGTCTTTCTCACGGTATTTGAATGACTAAAAGTGAAAATATTCAAAGTTGGGTACCAAAAGAGTCACCCTTATATACATAGTAGTTAAAAGGACTAAAAATGTCAAAAACTCATTTTTTGATAATAACTAATTACTTCACTCCATTAAAAAACTAATTAATTGCTAGTAGTTAAGGGATTTTATCAGAGTTTTTTCCTAATTAGTGCTCATTAAATAAATATTTATGAAATCATGATCCTTTTAAAAATAATTACTGGAGTACTGTTGGATTATCTCTGGTTAATCAAAACTACCGGACAGAGTGACGACGTACAAAGCTGTCATTTGGACTGGTGATTTTCAAATTAGAAACACGTCTCACTCATCCTCCATCTGCGAATAAAAAACCAAAGGAACGTCGCAAAGGAACTTTGTTCGAACGGTGGCGGGGGCACATTTCGAAAAAAAATCAATTCCGAAGAGACCTTTTTGGCACTCCTAAATCCGAATACACTTTCTCTGGTTGCAAGTCCTCTAGGTACTACAAACCAATTTTTTAATTCTCCTAATTTGATAAAATTAGGGTTTGTTGATAGTTTTCTCTTAAGAAAGTGGCTTATATTGAATAAGCAAAATTCAGGCAAGATACAAAAAACAAACACTCCCTTCCCGATTGTCTGCCATCGAACCAGACTCAGAGTCTATCACCTCTAAAAAGGTAATATAACTCACTGATTTCTATGATGGGCTTAACTGAGCCAATGACAGACGCAATAAGACCTGTCATCACTCAACCTAAACTGTAGAGTTCTGCTAGTAGAAATAAAGAACACAACCAAAACAACATTCAGTTTGAACCAAAAAATAAAAATAAGAACAAGATAATTAAAATAAATCCAAACTTGAAACAACATCTTACAAACCCTAACCACACGATTCCTTCATGGCGGCGGTTCGGGAGGGGGCGGACTGGCAATACTGCATCTTCTTCCATTGCCTTTTACTTATTTATAACGTTCACTGCTACTGAGCAATCGAAAGTGCAGGATAAGACGAGCAATCACTGTGTAGCCAAGTGACGCACTATTTAACAATGGCCTCCATGACTACTTTTTGCCTTGTTGAGCAGTTGAAGACGAACCTACGAACAAAATCAAAGTTTGTGCTATGTGCGAGGCTGAAATTCCCTAGCCGCATAAAGCCTAGGTCGGCCGACGGAAAAGAACGACTGGAAATCTCTGGCCGCACAAGCCTAGAACGGCTGGCGGGAAACTAAACCCTACGTGAGGGAAAGGCCACATGTCCACGCTTTGAGGTGTTGGGAGCTTCCATTAATGACTTCGAACATACAATTTGCACAACTCACAATTGGAGTAAACAAATAAATTTGGGAATATATAATAGCCCTTATTAGAGAAGAGAATCACCATTAAAAGCCACTGGATCGCTAGAGAATGACGGAAGACACTGGGGCGGCTCTGG